AATATTAGTACCAAGTTTCTTGCAGTTTTTTCAAATGACTCAGTATAGGAATTCTTCAATTTATTTTATTCCCCGCAAAAAAAATATTTTATTCAATCGACTCTTAGATTTTTTATTTTATAAAATATTGCATATTATTATTATTATCATTATCATTATTATTAATTACAATCTATAGTTGTACACAATTTATAGTGAAAAAGGTGCAGTAAATTCCTGGATTTCGCTTTGAATTCCATCGATCTTTCAAAATTTCATCAATTTCCAGATGCAGATTTCGATCGTTAGTGGTCACATTGCTGAAAATAAATATCGGTGCTTTTCACAAAAATAATTGAAAATGAAATCCGCTTCATAATGGAAATCTAATTATTCTTCTTTTTCCCAGGTAGACCCCTTACAAAAAAACTCGAAATAAATGGAGCCAGTCGGCAAAATTGCTATTAGAAGGAAAAGGTTAAAAGTTGCAGTCCTCTGGATCTTGCGATAGAACATAAATATAGGTAAAAAGAAGCTAATATAGTCGTAAAATTTTATAGGGATAGAGTTTAATTTTAAGTCACATTCTTCTAAAAAATTTGAATAATATAAATTTGTACTTTAGACTTGCATTTAATTTATAGAAACATTGAGAAGTGCCAGATTTTGAATATCTTGGATTGAATATCGATTTCAATCCCAAATAGTCAAGCGAAAGACGTAAGTATAGCCGAAGTAACGATAGCCAGTTCTTCCGGCTGACGAAACCTTTATGGAGTCATTGCAAAATCACTATAAAAAGGCCATGTCCATGAAGGTACGATTGGCTCGATCTTGCTATATGGTTGAGAGAGATTCCCAGTGAGAATTGAATGTATTAAAAAGCCACCTTTCACCACTCATGTCCAAGATTTATTTTATACGTTCGCAGAGCGAAAAATTTCGCATGATTCCTTGCATCTTCGCTCAGTTACCACTTGCATTAACCACATACCATCATAGAGCTTATCAAGGCTTGGATTGAGACAATCAGAAAAGTTTTAAAATATATAGACGGACCAGCAATATGTGGGCTTAAACGATGAAAAATAGAATGACTTACTATTATAAATGGTATCAGAATAGTTTTATTTGCCCTCATAGCCAATGGAACCAGCTTAAGCAATAATAGTAAATAACTGAAAGATGAAATAAAATAACATATCGGAATATAAACGATATACAAAGTGCTCCTGCACACCTTCGAATATTTTTCCAGAATAATATCCTAGGATTATATATGTAGAAAACTTAAAAGTTTTGTTGTTAAGGATCCAAGTGGAAAAGAATCATTTATTATAATCGACCAGTTTATATGCTTTAAGCCCACGAAAACTTTAAGTATAAATGAATTGAGGAATAAAAGCATTTTGCTTCTTGTAAATATTAAATTAATTTAATTAAATATTAGCTACTTAAAGATTTTATAACGATGTGAATATCGAGGCAATAATTTGTAAATATTTTAATTACTCAAATTTAATATTACAATATAATATTAAAATATAAAATTATAATATTATATTTTAATAATAATAATTGTTATTAAATGTTATTATTGTTAAAATATTATTATTTTGTTATTATTCACCATTGGACGACAAATCACAAATAATAAATACAGAAATAAAAGAGCGAACGGACTTAGTCTCACATAAAATAGACCATTTAACTTAATTTTTACAATTTATCAAAAAATCCTTTATCGCTAACATGTTTTCAGCTTTACAATATTGAAGAAAGTCATGGAAAACTAAAATTTTTGACAAATTCATCAATTTTTGACAAATTCAAAAATTCATCAAGCATTTTCGACTCTAACGATGCTGTATGATGCTATTTTCAAAACGAAAGTTAACAGGAGAGTTTAGCTTCGTTTCAGTTCAAATTTTATTCGCTTTTGGCCTTAAGTCAATATCATATTAGATGACTTATAAAATTTTATATAATTTTAAATTAATATATATAAATTTTAATTTAATATATATAAATTTTATAGAATTCAATTATTCCATCCTTCCATCTTTCTATCCTTTCATCTCTCATCCTTTCTACAAATCAAGATAAACGATATTTCTAAGAACTTTATGAACAAAACGATTAATTTCATGATGATTATACGCAATAATATGATAATTTTATGAGTTGCCTAACTTGCATTTTAGCGCTATTTTTCAATTATCTATTTTAATTAAATAAATTTGTAATTTAAATGACGAAAATAATTATGCATTGCATTTTCATGAATGGTATCATCGCTTCGCCTTCGACTTTAGATTTATTGTTTCTAAAATCAAAATATTACAGCCATTGGTTTTAAATAGATTAATGAAGCGCTTATCGCTTATTCTTCGTACAAACAGCTGAATTTGTGAGAATAAAAATGCTATCAGCTTGTTGGTACCTTCGACAAATTTACTTGTTTTTGCGAGGAGATGTGGAAAAAATTGATTCGATTATCGAACATACCACAAATATTTCATTTCGAAATTTTTTTTTCGATAAATTGAAACATCAAATTTTATCTTTCAAGTACGGAGATTTTGCTTTCATCGCCAAAATCCATTAGTGAAACTATTTTTTTTATCGAAAATTATCACTTTTATAAACCTGGAAAACACTCCAAAGTTCGGTTTAAAAAGACCGTCGTTCTACGAGGTTCAAATTCCGAAAAAAAAATTTTTTTACTTTAAATGTTTAAACATAATGAGCGATAAATTTATAATAAAGAACTAGAAAGATTATCATGATAATTTTGAAAAATATATTCCAGAAAATAATCGAAATTAAAATCAAAAAATCAGCTGTTTGCAGCTCTATCGTAATTGCCATGAAATAATTGAAATTATCATGTGCCTAAAATTAAACTATCACTTAAAACCAAGAGAATCAACAAAAAAAATTTGCATCTTTTTTAATAAATTTATAAAAATAAATCAAAAAAAATGCAGTCACTTTGGCTATTAGGTTTAAAATAATATTTATGTTACTTATTATGTTTATCTCCACGTCGCCTGTAATTTGTAGTTTAGTATCACTATTAGTATCCGTACGATAACGAAATGAACGAAGAGACCGATCATTAAGAAAGATCTGAAATGAAAGTGGATGAATTTGATTATTCTCAATTGCTCTCTTAATTGAAAAATAAAATTTAGCAAGCGCAACTTCACTCAACTTTTTTTTTTTGAAATATACAACACTCACCATTTCTGATTTGACTTGTTCCATTGGCACATTGGTTCAGAAAAATTGTGCCAGAGAGTCATTTGGGAACAGATAAAATGAATGGATCGTTAACAGTGCCCAACATTATATTCTCCAACTTTTTCCCTACCTTTTTTTCCGTAATGAATTTTATCATCTTTTCTTCCTCTTTTCCTCATTTTTTAGCAGAATATCGTAAAATTACTCATTAAATTACCTTTACATTGAAGTGATTAGTGGTATCTTATGATGTTCCCAACTAAGATAGCTTATATAGTTCGGTACTGCACCTGAAGGAAATATGGTGATGTACAATGATGCGAGGCAATGTATTGTGATGCGTGATATATCCATGAAATAAGCACATTTCTTTGTGATATAAGCTTAACAAAATTAATAGCTCTGAAGGACCAAATTGTTAAACCACATTTGTCCGTAGGCGCATAAGAAAATTTTCGGAACAAAATATTCATATGAGAATTGTGGTTTGGCATTTTGCACAAAGGATTAAGAAAATCGAAGAAGTATCATGGAGTTTGGAGATGATTGATAAATATAAAGGTAACGTTGTAAACGGTTGATGAAATTCGAAAGTCGATCATTGATGGTTGAAGCTTGAAATTTCTTGCGAACTTCACGTCATATAATTATTATATATACTACTTGCCTGTCAGAATTCTAATTCTCAATCCATTATATATGAAATACAGAAAATCGTATTTTAAAAATAGCCTCCAAAAAGAAAAGCCCGTAACAGAAGATTTCCGCTGTATATGCAGGTAAAATTGGTACGAGAGGGCTAGAATTATATCAGAGACTTCTGAAGAAAGCTGCTCAAGTGAATAGTAGAAAATTATTTGACATAAGGCACTTGAAACCCTATAGATGAACTGATCCGAGATATGGATGGAAGTTCCGGAGGCTCTCAAGGATCACCTCTCGGAGTGGAGGTCCATGATGAACCATCCTACATCCAAGACATGGCTAAAGCAACAATGCTAACAATTGGTCACAAAATATTTCTGAGAAGCTTTTCTCGTTTCTCATTTGGAATTTTATATCTGAAGCAATTGAATATGTAAATAAAATAATAGTTAGCGCCTTTCGCAACCGACGTATAATATATTCATCGGCGAAATCATTCAACTTAAGCAATGCCAATGTTTGCTTCAAAAATCAAAAAGAAAAGTGATGCATATTTTTGGAAGAGCTTTTTTTATAATCATCAGATGGCAATAAATGCTTTGAAATGATACTCAACATATACTCAACAATGAGAGTGAAGAATGTCAAGAAGTCAGCTGTCGCCTCTTGCCAAATTTTGCCGAGAAAATCTCACTTGATATTTGTCATCTTCACCTAATAGCACAAGCATCGATTGTATTATCAAAAGAACATCATCTAGCTGCATAGACTATGACATCTCTTTTGTTATTTTCCACAGAAATCAGCCCAGTATCGCCAAGCCATCTGGTGACAGAGATGACACAGAAGGTTGAATAAAGATCTCGACAACATTTTACGAAAAAATTTTGAATAGCCAAGCAATTCAATTGTTCATATGATTTAACTATGTAAAAATGAATGATTTCTTTAATTATAGTATAAAAATGAAAATTGCATTATACTGGAAATATATTAACCATTTAGAGGTACCAATCTAGAAATAACTGAAAATGATTGCTGTTGGAAAAATGAAAACGCAGAAGAGAGAGAGAAAAAAAAATTCATACATTATTTTATTTCTAAATTATATAAATTATGAAATAAAAGTATCAAACCACAAATGCTTGTTCTTCCTTTTTGATTTTCAATTCAAAATCGACAAATCGCAAGAATGGCATCGCTTCAATTCTTTCCTCTTCGCCCCATTTGCTGTCGATCATCGAATTACAAATTACCCTCTAAAAATAATTACATAAAAACAATTTATGATTTAAAGATAGAAATTTTTTTTTAATATATTCCCTCTTTTCCTAAACATTTCTGACTAAACTCGTTCCTCTGGCTCGCTTAAATTCCACGCTGAATTGCATCATTCACATGCACTATTAGCATTTATTCTTTTCGAGAATAGAACCTCATCTTGACAATTTAGCTGTCTTTTTTGCTTTCTGGACAAGGCTGAACATATCATTAAAATCGAATTCGAATGGTTGTTAAAGGTCCATCTGCATTGCTACTATAAGTGACTTTATGGAGAATAAGCTGAGTAAACTGCAAACGGACGTCCGCATATTCTGGTTTACATGGTACCCTATATCAGCTAAACATGTGATAAAGGTGCAAACCGAGCTTGGATATAATATCAAAAAATGGTTCTCGAGCTGCTTTTTATTATCTTATAAGGATAACAGCTCAACTAAGCAACCATCAAAAAATCTTCCGACTGCTTTATAAGGGAATCAGAATTCGAAAAATGAAGAGATCTGAGGTAAGAATGGAAATTCCGTTAAGATCATCAAAAATCAAAAATCTTGATGGAAAGAGAGATCTTTGAACATAAATTTAATTACTTGGGCCATCCAGTATCCTGAATATGATTGCAAAGCATTTAGAGCCGTGTGTTTGCAATCGCAAATCACCAATGAAGCACGAGATAACCTCTAATATTCGGATGCATATGTCCAATAAAACCCACAAAGAAGATGATCTGTAAAGCTATACTCTTCAAATGCTGCATAGCTTCTTTTACAATACTTCTGCATAGCTTCTGCAGAGATTATATTCATTGGCATAAGAGAAAAGTGAATAGTATGTAACCGGAGTAAAGCAATTCTATTCCCAATTCCCAAGAAAGGTGATAGGACTCACTAACGAGGGATCAAAGGATTAGCCTGCTGGATGTTGCTCAATAGATAGCAAAGTACGGTACTAATCAAGCCGGATTTATGCCAGGGACTAGTTGTGCTAACCAAATGTAAATATTTATACAAATGCTAATAAGATTGCATCTCAAATAAATTCATCAATGGCCGAAGAAGCGTCACATTTTACGAATTTTATATATTTTGGATCCATTCAATATACTTAATGGCCAGATGATAGATGAAATTCTAGTTAAGCAACAACTAGAGATGCATTTTTTTCCCTTAGCAGAATTTCTCCGGAACTGCCGCGAAATTAGTCTGATCCTGCTATGGGACTGTGAGAAGAGTCGAAAATATTGGGGAACTTCAGCCTTTGATCATTCTTACCCAAAATGTTCTTCGTCAACACCACAGGAATTTGTGCATATCTCGCTGCTTTCGAAACTGTGTGATGGATTGCACCAAAAGCGTAAAGGACCAATGAAGAACTAGGCCGATACGATTAGTAGAGATTTTCAACGCATAGATTGCTCAGTTGATTTAGAAAAAAAGGAAAAAGAAGACTCAGTTATTTTCAAAACTGACATGGAATAGGAAGCCTTGGAAGCCTCGTCGTGCAAGCCAAATCAACAATGGTCCGAGCTTCAGCTGTACTATAGAAATTTTTTGAAAAATATTGAAAAATTAAAAAGAAACATTTTCATCGAATCGAATATTGATATGTAGCATAATATTGTTATTAGCATTGAATAAATTTATAGTAAAATGACGTGCATCACGTTGTGACCTTCCGAAAATTGTTATTTCCACCCATCCAGCTTTTAACATCTCTTCATATGGAATTGTCTGTAAAAAGAATTTTTTACCTGATTTTACCCGATTCTCGGAAATCGTCAAGGTTAACGTTCGCGTTAGTATAAAGCAAATAGAAAAATAAACTGGCAACGGAAGTTTTATATGAGTTTTATATAACGGAAGTTTTATAAGTTTTATTCAAAAGTTTTATAAAATCTATATGTGTAAATCTATATTTATCGTGACTGCTTTTCATACAAATTCAGATTTGCCAGCCAAATTCTTATCAAAGGAATGACAAATAATTCCTTTAAGTAATATATATATATATATATATATGTATATATATATAGATGAACTAACATAATAGCGGCCTCTGAATCCTTCAAGGTTGTATGGATAAAGGCCACCATCAATATAAAGACGATTTATCATCGAAAGAGGCAAGCGATATCTGAAAGTCGTTAATTGCCTTCGATCACATGAAATCTAAAAATATTCAAGTTAAAAAAAAAGTGAAAATATTAAAAAAATAAACAAATAAAACTAGTGAAAACAAATAATATATAATATAATATAAAATAAAATTAAGAGAGAATAAGAGAAAAAATTGCAAATAATAAATCAATTTGTTATTATTAATAAATATTAATAAATGAATTATTAATAAATAACTAAAAATAATCAATGAGAAAATGTAAAATAAAATTTTTTCCAACCAAACCTCGAAATGATCATGATGGGTGCGAATTCTAACATCTAATGATGCATATTTATTCATCGGATTTGCTGCACGCTCTTCTGGACCCCAAGCACCATTGATATACGCATTAAATACAATCTTTAACGTTAAAAATACTCACATTAAAAAAAAAAAAAGTGAAAATATTAAAAAAATATAAAATATTAAAAAATAAGATAAACATATAAAACTAATAAAAAACTATTTTCAACGTTAAAAAGTTTAAATATGCAATTTATTCCATTCAAAAATATAAAATAAAATTAAAAAATAAGTGAAAAGGTTGAAATTTTTTTAAATAATAATTAAAACTTAGCTATAAACAAAATAACATTATGATTTTACAAAAAAAATAACCTGTCTTTCATCAAAACGAATGGACATATGAAATGGAATAGCACCACCATAGATATCAGCGGTTTTCGATTCACATAAATTGATTACAAACCTGAAAAATTTGCATAGTTCATTCTTATCAGTATGGTACTTCCATATTCTCCTTATATGGATGTTGACTAGTATTACTATATTTTCTATTTCCTTGTTTCCTTGTTTAAGGAATATTTGCAATAAAAATGTTTATTATTTATGAACTACTACTGACTGTGCGATTAGATTATTGCTTTATATACATAATTGCTCTAGTGTCCACTTAATGCACCATAATCCTTCGTTAGAATTAGATAAATTAATTCCTTTAAGCTTCCTTATAATAGTTCCGTTAGATCCCCAATACATGCCTTTCTTTACTATCTTGTCAAGTTATAAAGTTGTCAAGTCGTTTTGAATGAATCGATAGTGTTACCTCCTAAAGCTTTCTTTTCCTATGTTTATTCTATTAAATACTCTTTTATTAATGTCCTTCGATGGATGATCCTTTCCTTCCGAAATGCCAAACCACACCATCAGCGCTCCGAATTGAGTAGCGAATCATTGGGCTATTTCTACGTTAGGCGAGATAGCAGCCAGACGAGTAAAATACGGATTCGATCCTACAGTCCCCGGTGGCAATTACCTTACCACTGAGTAGCCGATGCATCATTCTCAATTTATTTAGAACCAGAAAAATCTGATTCTCGCAAGATTTTCTAATTTTTAAAAGGAAACTTAATAGCATCATCAATATTATCAAGGTAAGCCACCGATACGCTTTCGACTCGTTGCTGCTTTAAGGGTCACCATCTTCATTCAGTCATTCCTGTCACACCTGAGTTCTTAGATTTTGCGATCCACTTCATCTTTTTTCGTCCATCTTGTTTCATTTCAATTTTCCATATTTTATTGTTTTCCATTGCTCTGTTGTTTCTGAGCAATTTTACAGCTAAGGTGGCTTAGCTTGAGTGCAATGCTTTATAATTCAAATAATATCTCTAGTTCAAATATTTTTTTCTAAGACCATTTATTAGATTTTATCCTTTTCAGCATCCATACGAAATAACTTAAAATATCATTGGCTTGACTAAGTTTTATTTTCAAGCCAATTTTGGCGTTTTTTGTGATTTTTTCAATTTATTCTGTCATTGCAATCTATAGTTGCACACGTGTATAATCTTAGATTCCTAATTTTGAAGCAATGCCTTTCTTTGCCTAATTCTTCTCTTATTTTATTCTCTGCCTACATATTGGAAAGGTAAAGAGGCAATATGCATTCTTTTTATGCATTTTCTTGAACTGTGAACTATTTTCTATTTCCGTTTTCACTTTTGATAAGATCATGCAAAATCCTTGCGACATTAATCCCTTATAAGGAAATATCACTTTTTTTCTGAGCGTTTTTATTGGTTTCTTAATTATTATTGTTATTTATTGCTATTAAGAGTTTCACTATTTTTATTTCAAAAATTCTATTTTAATTTTATATATTTTATGTTTTTATTTATTTCACTTAATATTGTGATAAACTGTTTCAGTTTTACTTAGTTTTTCTAGATGAAAAAATGAATTTGAATAATGAAAATGGTTCTCATCCATCAAATATTCTAATCCATTCTACCAATATAATTTCAAGTCAATTTTCATTTTTTTTTACTAAATAACTCAAATAACTAAATAACTGAAATAAATACGAACTGATCGCTTGTTTCTATTAATTTTCCGCTTAACACAAAGAGTTGACTTTCTTTGACTCCATTATCTAGAGAAAGATTAACCGGGAATACCTGGAAAAAAATAATTATTATTAATTTGAATTTGTATATTCATTTGCGACAATAATTATTATTTTTGCCCCAGAAAAATAATTAAGTTCTTTCAAAATGCTACGATTTTCGGAATTAGCTATGTTGTGGAACATAAAACAGTGATTTACAAATGTATAATAGAGATTTAACGAAAGCACTGTAATTATGATCTGAGGGATATTAAATAAACATCAAAAGATTTGGAGCATGGTAAACTTCTGAAGGACAATTTTAAAAAATAGGCTTGAGGCTTTTTTGCTCTTTTTCGAGGACCATTAGGCTACGCTTACTTATCGAATCAGACAAACTTTTTCAAGAACACTTGACGATAGACGTGCAGGCATAGAAGAATCCAAGGCTTCTCTAGCTCTTCCATATGATTCCAGAAACCAGTGTCCTTATTTTAGTTCATCAGATGAAAAGGTTTTTTCCTCTTCTTATGGACTTAATTCTTGTAAATTCTTGAGAGAACAATGTAGAAAATGGCGAAATTACGAGAATTATTCTTTTTAAAGGAGGATTTAAAAAAAGATTTCAGCAGGGATTTGATAAAAGTGGTAAAACTTCGATAAGATAAATAAGGTTTTGAAGTGAAGTCAATATATGAATTAGTGATTAGTTAATGGCTAGCACGATTCTGATTAAACTCATTCTGCTGGTTACTATCCTGATAAGACACTTTCACTGGAGAGTCACATATAAAATACGGATATGTGGATAATGTCAAAGTGGACAACCTAATTGCCACAATTATAGAGGTGAACCAAGTTGCTTGAAAATTATCTCAGCAGTTATAAAATAATAAATTTTAATTAACAAATTTGTTAATTCTATTTTAAATATAAATAAATATAAATTAAATTTATTTAGTCAGAATATATTCATCTTACATTAATTAATTTGAAATTAGTTGAAGTACCAATTAATCTTAAATGTTTAAATGACAGTGATTAGAGAAATTTTCGTAAGTTTTTTTTTTTAAAAATCACAATAAAAATGATTTTAAAAAAAATTCAGATTGATGAAAACAACTAACGTAAAATTTTCTTTCCGGTTTGCGAGGCCTGAAAATTTATTAATTCGCTCAAATTCTATCAAATCAAGCAAAATTCATTTTTTTGTAAAAATTAGCAAACTAAATTAATTCATTATAGATCTATATTATTTCTCTATAAATTACTGTAATCAGTTCGTAAAATGTCGAATTAATATTAAAATATCGCTGAGTGCTGAAATAAATCGAACATACACAAGATACCGGCGTGAATAATCCGTATTTTCTTGTTTCTCCATTCTCTTTAGAATAAAAATAAAATGAATAAATCAAATTATCTGCTAATATGAATAGCGATTTTTTCCTGAAAACTAACTGGAAAAATGGCGAATAATTTTATAGAAACCATAGTCTAATATAACTTACTGACTCTCCATTGAGAATTTTTATTAATCTTTTTTTAAAAAATGAATTTGATTGATTTTAATAAATTTGAATTTTAATAAATTTTAAAATTTAGTAAATCCATTAATTCAATAATTAATATATTATTAAAATATTCAGCCGATTTTAAAAAATTAATTTATAATTTTTTCAAAAGTTGTGCAAAAATTTTAGCACTTCTAAAATCATATTTTTATTCATTTATTTACTATGCATTAGCCAATCGGATCGATTTATCTAAAAAAAACGACAAACAATAAACAATATTTTATCAAGTGGGATTAAATTAATAATTTAGCAATAATAATTATAAGATGGCTAATGTCGATCAACATAGATAAAGTAAGCGAGTGAATAATACTATAGATAACTGCGTTAAGAAATAAGAATTCGGCTCATACTTTGATAAGAGCAAACTTTATCACTAAAAAATTAGCGATTAATCTATATTTCAGTTACAAAATGACAAAAATTAAAGTTAAACAAATATCAACGGAATATTATGAAATAAAAACTGAATTACTGAATTTCTTCTAAAACAAATTGTATAGAAACTAAGCGGTTGAAAAAATTAGCATTGTGGTGAAAATCTGCGTCCAAATAACTGCAATATAACTGCGAAACATGGCCAATGAGAATGAAAGATTAAGAAACTATCAGTCTTTGATCACTCATATTTAAGATCCAATCAAATCACATATTGATCACACATCACATTAAATCACATATCTATCTTCGCTCCACCTGTATTAATAATGTTATCACAGAACGTCACTTTCGCTGATTAAGACACGTTCTCTGCTGTCCAACACAGGGTTTGACGCATATTTCGCTATTTGCGAACCCTGTGATGGTTGGCATCAAAAGCGAGGAGAAGCAATCAAAAGCTGGTCTGATACGATCAGAGTTTAAGAACGGAAATATTTTGAACATATGAGAGAACCAGCGATATATGGACTTAGACAATATGTCTTCTATTACTACTAGTGAAGGCGTCTTATACTTATAGCAAACCAGTAGTGGTGAAAGCAGTCAAAAGAAGACGACGAAGAATTGTGGTGATATTTAGAATCTTTATTTTGAAGCGAACGCCTTTTATAGGAAACCATAAGCGTTTCGAAGCGTTTCAGATGCGAAATATATATGCTAGGAAATAGAATTTCGAAAATGTGCTATTTGAAATATTAATATTAATGTTAATAGAAAAAATTGTGGAAATGTGAAATATTTATGCAAGTGATGTTCTTTTTTTTATATAGAATTTGTTGAATTTTATTCAATCTTTTATTTCGGAAACGAAAAAAATGAAGAAAGAAGATATTTTGCACTCAAAATTCTGAGCCTTCGCATGCTTAGCGAAATAAACTTCTAAAACAAAAATATTTCTATGTTATGACATATTATTATACGCTTTAAAGTACACAGTTGACTTTAACAATTCAATTCAATTTTTTTCGAGTTCGAAACAAGTTTGAAAGGCTAAAACAGGAACAAAAGAGGAACAAAAGTCTAAAACAAACAGGAACAAAAGTCTAAAAAAGACTAATCAATAATCAACTTGTAAGGCTGAGGTACTTTGGCGTAAGGCGAGCCTAGAGAGAGGAAAGCGCTTTAAGAGTAGAGGTCACCATTTATCAAGGATTGGAAATATTGAAGCCTTGGTTGATCTAGCCAATTTTGAAAAGTTTTTTGCCAGATACACATACATATTAATATTCGTCCTTAGGGGCTCATTGGGTTGTTACTCAATTTGAAGCTGCTGGTTCTAATCCGTCTAAAAGTAAGCCTGCCCAAAAACTTCTATAGCTAAAAGACTCCTTGGCCTATTTGTCCAGTGCGACGAACGAGTCTAATCAGTAATGGTGAAGGCTTTTTAAAAAAAAATTATTATAGTCAATTACCATAGATATACTTAAATAATGATAAAACTATAAATGCACTCATTCTTCTTGCCGTAAATCTGACATTTTTTAGGAGATATTTAGGAGATTTGTGAAAATATTTTAGGAATGAAATGGAAAACCAAATATATTGCGATCGATTTCGATTTTTTTCAAAAATCTATTTTTTATTTTCATTTGTTTTGTAATCAGTTTTTTAAATTTATAAATTTAGAAATGATGAAAAAATTTTTATCATTTATTTCCATATTAATATTTCTTACACAAAATTTTCAACAGTAAATAATTTTATTGATAAGTAATTTTGTAATTCAAATAATTTTGTCATAGTAATTTTAAATAATAAATGATAAGACGCGTACACCACTTCCTTAGCTATGAAAAACTTTTCATTTACAGTACAGTGATTTCGCAAGTAACCTGCAATGCGCTTTTCAGATCAAATCGACGTGGCTGAAACTAAAAGATATTAAGAAAGCCTAAAATAGAATTCGAAGGGAGCAAAGAAATCATGCTGAGTTGGACAGGGAGATTTTAAATGCGTTTTCTATTCGAGGAAATCGAATTTGGAAGGAAGGCCAGTGAGACTTTTTGACGTTTTTCTCCAGGCCCACTTATTTTTATGATATTTTTGTTGAAATTATTATGTGAATATGGTGTTCAATAGGTTTTATCGAATTTAAATCAGATATTCATTCATATAATTTTAATTTCCATTATACAAAGCCGTGTTATCTTTAGCAAATGGTCGATGGCCTACATTTAAAATCCTTAAATCAATAAGCTAATAACTATAATCTCTCTGATCCATTCTGATATAATCGTCATTTAGTACACGTTTAGCCGACAAATTAGTCTCATCTTTCCAGTATTATCTTTATTTAATTTTTTATTAAATTTATTTATTTCATTTTATTTGATTTTTTTATTTTTCATTTATTCGATTATCAAACATCTCTCATATAATTTAATCTTTAAAAATGAAAAATTATTAATTTGTTCTAAAATTAATTAATTTTTTATTGAAAATTATTAATTTAACTTCGATATAGAAACAAAAAAACTTTTATAAAATAAATAATAATATGAATTTGTTATTTTATTGTAGAACAACTGAAATTTATATTTATTACGGTACGTTGGTAATAAAGAAAAGATTACTACAATAGTTTTTTTTCTTGAAATATTCCAAAAATTTCAAATTTAAATAATAATAACGCGAAAATTAGTCAATAATATTTGAACAAAACCGACGAAAACTTTAATTTGATAATTCTATTAAATCAGTTTTAAATGAATGGAAATGAAGAATATGTTTGAAATATGCTTGAAATTTGCTTGAAATTAACGCCAATCTAAAATTGAATTTATTCCGATAAGAAAATTTTTCTTTTCACTTTTTTTTTCATTATTTCTACTTTTTTTTTTGATCTGAAAAAATTTTTCGAATATCTGACGATGAATTAAAAATATACCTATAATATTCAGTTCGACATCACCCATAACTTGCATTTTAATTAATTCTCCAATATCCCAGCGATAAGGAAATGTGCGAAGTGGTTGATCATTAACGAATATCTAAATTAAAAAATTTCATTTTTTTTATTATTTGAAATATAAAAATTTATTATCTGATTATTGTGTATTTATCTATTTGACTTTTAGTTGTCTCATTTAGTTAACCATTTAACCGTTTTTCTCCACTTATTTTCATAATAAATAATTTCATAAATTTTGTATTAAAATTAAAATTGTATTAAAAAGGTTTTTATTATTATTATTGTTGTATTTCTTTATTTATATAGAACAAAACTGGTGATATAATTCAAGGAAAGTATCTTCGTATCATGGTTTTCCTGAGCTTGTGATGTACTGAGGAAAAATTGCCAACATAATCCGGCAAAGACAAGATAGCAATAATAATTAAATTCATAAACCGAGGAAATTCTCGAAAAAATTCAGGTAAATATTAGTCGATCTTGTATGCATATTTGGAGACCCTTGTATGGATTCACAGCATTTACAGTGTGATATATATCTTATGAAGCCAATCGATAACCGCTTACATTCGATCGAAATATCTTTAGGTCCATCTTTCTTCATTTCCAGAGTAGCGCTAGTGGTTGGTTCAGACGGAAAACCATAGAATACAGGCACATTGAATAATCATCAAAACAATCAAAAATTATTATGCATCAAAGAACTGAATTAACTGTGAACGCTTGGCATCCTGGGCGATATGGGCGATTAGTGCTTTTAGGCCAACCTTTCCAGCTATAAAAAATAAATTCTTTGTAAGAGTTATAAGGTCTCCTAATTAGGACTCTTCTAAAAATATGGAAAATTGCCGCAAATATCCGAAATACTCTATTTTCTGTCATCGACATATATTGCTTTCAAAAGTGAGCAAAGTACGATTCAGTAGGTCTGGAATGAAAGATCAACAATCCGATGAAGTGACCTCCAATTAAACTGGCTATATGAGACCAATAATTTCGATCATGAGAGATTAACGAACAAATATAGGCCGAAGAATGATTTTTAAAATAAAGGTTTAATTACTCAAGCCAGAGGACGACGAACGATAGGTTACGATAACACAAAGGCTAACGAACAAATTACGAATGCACAGTTGAGAGCTTTTTTCGGAACAATCAGATTATCTCATTTATCAGTAATTATTGTCCTAATTATTGCATGAAGTTACGCTCTATTCTTAGAAAAAGAAGTGTAAAATTTGTAACTTCTGAGGTATTTTGTAGAAAATGACAAACCACAAATTCTTGCTTTGCCCTTATAATTTTTAGATCAAAGTCAGTATAAGGTTCAAATGGAACTGGTTCAATTCTATCTTCATGTCCCCATTTATAGTCTACAAACCAATTATGCACCACACACTGAAAATAGAAAACACAGAAAACTCAAAAATTATAGTTAAAAATTAAAAATTAAAGATGCATGAAATTTAAGAAGAAATATAAAAAAATTGGTTTACCAATTTATAAACTTTGTATAGAACTGTATTATTTATTATAAATATTATTTAGTATAATAGTTTTTATTTTGTTTTGTTTTTTTATGGTGAGCGTTGTTAAAAGACGAGTGAAGGCGAATCCAGCCTATGACATTTGAACGAATAGTTTGATAACATATCACCCACCTAAACAGTAATATTGATAGTTTTTTTTTTCAAGAGTCCCCATCATTACTGGTTAAACTCATTCTGCTGGACTAGACAAATATGCTAGGAAACCCTTTCACTATAGAAATACAGGTGAGTCGCCAGCATAATCCGAATTTTTGGACAGGTTTACTCCTGCGGAGAATAGAACCTCAGCATCGGCACTTCTTCGAATTCTGCACTAAGACATTCTATTCCGATAATAATAGTTAATCGAAAAAGAGAAAGATGATTAATTTCAATTGATGATAATGATGAATTTCAATAATGAAAATATAAAAAATTATATAAAATAAAAATTAAATAAGAAATAATGGATTTTCCGCCAGGGATACAGCGAATAGGTATTATTTATTGAAAAAAATTTTATGATTTTTCATTTGACTTTTAAAAATTATATTAAAAAATAAATTTAAAAAAAAACATTTTCATCGAATCTAGCATTGAAATGTAGCATAATATCGTCTTCTTCATTGAGTAAGTTTATTGCAAAGCGATACGCTTCGCGGTTTGGTCGTCCTAAAATTATTAATTCTTCCCATCGATCCAGTAATTTTCTTTCATATGGAACTGGCTATAAAAATAAAATTTTAATTCAAATTTCCTTTTTTTCTTCCTTATTCTTTATTTCTTTTCCTTTATTCTTTAAAGAAAAATTTCTTTTTTCCTTTATTCCTTTAAAAAAAAATATTTAAAATTTCTATGAAATACACAAAACTCACATAAATTTTGCCTTTGAAATCAATCATATGACGTGGATAAAAGCCTCCATTAATAAGAACGCGCGATATTAGCGAAAGAGGTAAACGATATCGGAAAGTTTTAAATTCTTTTCGATTACAGGAAATCTATAAAAAAATATAAAAATTTTACAGTAAAACTTTAAAAAAAGAAGGCAAACAATTGAAATTTTTTCTTAATATTTTCCATCAGAAAGAGAATTATTACAATTTATAGTTATTATCGAAGTAATTAAAAATAATCAAAGATAATGAGAAAAAATGAAAAAAAAACCTCGAAATGATCTCGAAGAGTTCGAATTCGAACATCAATCATTTGATGTCGATTAAGCGAATTTTTCTTCCGTTCCTCTTCACCCCACTGTCCATTAGTGAAACTATTAAATACAACCTTCAAAGCGAAAAGAAGCGTTTAGATTTATACGAATGAAGTAATTGCTATATCAAAGAAAAACAACTAGGAAGCTAGAAAAATAATATGTTCAAATCCCACATAATGGTTTCTTAATGAAACGAAAAAATTAGCCTGTTTCTCGTCAAAACGAACAGACATATGAAATGGAATGGAACCATCATAAACATCGCCCGATTTCTTTTCACAGAAATTAATCGTGAACCTAAAAATATTTGCATAAATATTCGCATTTATAATATTATGAAAATGATAAAGAATATATCTTTATGTTTCCTTAAGTTTTTTATTTCATATATTTTTCATGAGGTGAAACGTAATCGAATTAATATCATCTAGATTATCATTAAATCTGTGTCCCTGGAAGGGGCTAAAAATTCAACTGATGGTACGAACCCAGCTATATTTCCACAATGCTCTATCAAATCTCGCTACTCTATCATATTCCAGCATACCATCAATTCTTGAGACATTATAGCTAAGGTTTCCTCTTGTGGATATTCTCTCCAAAATCTTAATTCTCCTAAGATACAATGGTAAATTCACTAAAGAAACTTTTACTTAAGCTCATTTACCTCATCCTTTGCCTCCTCTCATTCCTTTCATCCTCTAAATTTTGAGTAATTTCGTTTTGATTTCGTTTTGAGCCCCTTTGATAAAATATAATGATTGCACGGTCTCGAACTGCGAAAAGTGAAAGTGATGCTTATCATGGAGCATAAAAAAGTATAATGTGACGAGATTTTTAGACGAGATAATAGAAAGAGTTGGTTATGAGGGTTGATGGCTGGCTTATCCCAGTTACATATCACCAACTAGCATAGGGAAGGGAAAAAATGGAAAAGAAAAAGAAAAATGATCTAAGAAGTTCAGAATTTATAAAATAAAATTTCACTCCTATAATTATCGAGAGAGAAAAATCTGGAAGATAGCCATTTGCTGAATTTTAATTTACGAATGCTGCAGAGGGTAAGTTTTTCAACTGTTGGAATCCATGAGAGAGGACGATATTTGAAAAGTGTAAAGTTATTTTCCTGTTCCTATTCCTTAATTTATTAATTTATTAATTCATATTTTCCTTTTTGCTTTAACTTCAATTCTATTTTATTTATTGAAATACAAACTGGTCAGTTGAATCCATTAATTTCCCATTTATCACATATAATCGGCCAGGTTTAACAATTTTCTCCAAAGGTATGTGAATTGGGAATTCCTGAAATAATTTCTGAACTCATCAAATTTCTACGGTCATATATTTAAAAAATTTATTAATACTTAAATTTTATTTGATATTTGAAACAAAAGATAACTTACTTTTTACCTATAAAATTTTGCATAGATAGTATAGATCAGTTGTGATAGATTTTTATTTAAATTCTAGCATCACAGCATCTACAATTTTTAAGAACTTTCAACATTGTTGGTTCTAGCATTAGGCTGCTCCGCTGGCTACAAAGGTGAGAAATTTCCCGATCTGATGTCATCACTGGTAATAAAAAAGTCATTTTTTTTCATAACACAAGTCCACATATTGTTGGTCCATTTATACATTCAAAATCTTTTCTGACTGTATCAATCCACGTTTTGATTGGTCCACCTCGCTTTTAACTCCATCCATCACACTGTTTGGTAAATAATGAAATATATCATTTATGAAATATATACAAATTCCTGTGGTAGACGAGAAAAAACGTGATTTAACTAGCAAAAGACGACTGATTCCCTGTGATAAAACTTTAAATGCAAGTGGTGCTTGAGGCAGATGCAATCATGTGAGATTTCATCCTTAGTAGGTCCGTAAAACATCTTAGACATGCGAGAGTTCAAAGGCAGATAGCTTCTTAATAACTTCCACTTGCTTAATTGTAGGGAAGAGCCACGATGCTCAAAAAGATTATATAGCATGAAAGTTTAAGCTTATCACTTAAATAAGTTCAAATTAAACTTAGCATTTAAATAATGGCTTAGAAGAATTTTCGTGAAGTAAAAGTGACTTAGAAAAATTCATATTAGTAAAAAAACCAACATGAAATCTTCTTTGACGAATCACGAGAGGCTGAATTTTTGTTGGTCTAAAATTTACTATTTTAATCAATCCTATTTTAAATTATTTTAATCAGTTCGAAAGTGTTAAAATATTAAAATATTAAAAAATCATTTATTAATTCATAAGTTCATTAGCCAAATAAATAAAACATACCGTTCATGTTGTTCATCTGAACGGATATTTGTGTTTTCTGCTTTTTCCATTCTGTTTAGTATGGATAAAATCAATTTAAATTATGATTTCTTCTGAAAAAAACTTGAATTCTAAAAAAATTCTAAGGAAATGCGACTGATTTCAATTGAAATTTCCATTATTCCCCGTGAAGTCAAAAAAATAAAATAATCAAAAACTAATAATCTCAAATTTGTTTATTTATAGGTTTTTATTAGGATTAATGAACTTAGTCGAGGGAAATTCTGTGGAACTTGCAATGAACTATGATGCTGTTTAAGGGATTAATCAAACTTTAGGAAGTATATGATAATAAAAGTGATAGAATATTGCAAAATGTTATGGCTTTGATAACAGGAAGTGTTAAGAAATATAATAGTTGCTACCGGCATTTATAAAATGATAAGAAAGAGTCCGAACATAGGGTATTCCTTGCTATTACGACTGATAATGTTAAGATGATTTAAAGATGAGGGATGGTCAACGTTTCACAAAATATGTTGGTTTTGGGAAATGTAGATATAGTTTTTTTCAAAATTAAATACAATATAATGCTTAAATGTCGATGTTAATAAATGATAATAATAAATTTAAATATAAAATTAAGGTTAGTACCGAGTCTTCTCTAGATAAACTGATAAGATAAGATAAAAAACAGAATGATGCCAATTTCAAGCACTCATTGTAATAGTATAAAAATCTAAAAAAAAAAAATATAAAATTTAAAAAGTATAGATTTATGATGCTTAGTGAAAATTAGCCAGTGTCTTATGAAAATCTACCCTTAAGACATATACAAATATTGGAGTGAATGCCTTTTTATAGGAATTTTCTAATGTAAAAAAAATAAATGCTTTTTCTTTTGCGAATCGATCAAATGCGAGTTGTAAATGTGAAATACTTATGCAAGGAATCTCAAATTGTACAATATGAAATATTAATATTAATGTAAGTCAAAATAAATTATAGAAATGTGAAATATTTAATAAATATTTAATATTCATGTGTTGTTCTAATAAATTTATATATTTATATTTAAAAAGCTGTGAAAAATTCGGCAAAAAATTTCAAAATTTATGCAATTTTTAAAAATTGAGAAAATTGAGAAAATTTGTGAAGATTCTGAAAATTAAGATCCAATGACCTGGCCAGTAATATAATATAAATATAATGTATATCTTTAATGTTAGAGCGATTTTTGGTTTTTAGCGTTAGCTTTGGCATCGCCAAAAAAACCATAGCTAAAACCATGAGCTCACTTATATAATTGGATTTTTTTGTGATGTGTTGGAAGTAAAAAGAAGTGTATTGGCTAAAGAAGTGTTTTGGCTACTTTGGCTATTGCTAAAGAAATGTATTGGCTATCTAAGTGTATTGGCTGAGTGTATTGCATCTAAACTTTTTACAAAATGAAAAATTTTCACTTGTTAAATGTTTCCATTAATAGAATAGTCCAAATTATATAATAAGGTATAGAAGAACATGGATTCTATAAACTTCAATAAGCATCTACTTTTTCATAGATCTTTACAATAATACTGAGCCACTTCTAACAGAAAAACGGTCGAATAGCAGATTTAAAATTTGATGAAAATAGAAGAACAAGCCTCAGAAGGAATAAAAACGGTGATTATTTTTATGCCCCACAATAGATTCAATGTTTGTCGAAAAGGAAGTGAAAAAAATATCGAAATTTATAACAAATGGTCCTATATAAATAATTATTAAGCGAAGGGGTAAAATCTTTAGCTCAGTTATTAGGCAGTTCAAAAATACTTTCACTGGTACTTGCAACAATTGCACCATCTGATCAACTATTTTGCAATACCGAAGATTCCACTATACATATCTATCGGTTATATATCTCATCTCATAAAAACAGTCTCAGAAATTTATCGCTCCTCATTGTTAAAAGCGAGCGAAATCCAGCTCGCTTCTTCCAGTTATGAACATCCTCAACCCTATTAGCCAGTGAGGACAACCGATAAATATTGAGTTCTGCTAAAAAAAGAAAAAGGCTGTGGATATCAACTGCTACACCATAATTCTCTCTTCGAAAACCAATGAAATTTCCTTCAAAACTTGTCATATTATTTTCTCTCTTGCTGAGCAAAAGTATATAACGAAATTTAAAAACGGCAAGGATAATGTAATGGCGTTAAGAGAAACTACTTAGGCATAAAAAAAGAAAAGAAACGATAAAAAATTGCCTATTGAATTGAATCATATGATAGGCAAATTACCCTTTTCATTTAAAAGTATAGCATATTTTACTCATAAATTCGAAAGGATACTGTCAAATATCTTATTAATTCATTGATTTCCTTTGTAAAATCTGCTTGGTCCGATAAGCCAGCGGAACGAGTGCAAATCAGAAGTGGTGAGAACACTTAGAGAGAAAATTATTTTAAGATAACCTGAATTATTCAACAAATTTTATTTAGATTTATTGCTAATTTTTTTTTTTAATGGTGACTTCGATATTTTTAATGGCGACAAAGAGGGCGAAAATTATAAGAATCTATATGCGAAACTTTGCTAAGAACGTAACTCCTTTCACTTCTCATAATTCCCTTGGGATATGAAATTATCCATTTTCTTTAGCTCCATTAATTGAAGTTTTTTTAATAAAATTTATATTTTTAACTATTCTTCATATATTTTCTCCAATCAAAATTAATATTAATCAATTAAATGAATGGCTTTTTAAATTATTCAATTGTTTTTCTGAAAATAGAAGACTTATAAGATTGCAACTTAAAAAAATTTTGTGAGTGTATATAATGAATGTGAGAATTTTCATAAATATTTCATTCATTGTATTTTAACATTGGAAAAAACATAGAATTTTATTTCGATGAAACTACGGTACATTTAGTGATAAAGTGATAGAGAATAAGGAGAAGTATTTTATTTTTAAAAAACTGATTAACAGTCAAAACTAAGAAGTTTTGACTTTAAAAAAGAATAAATATTAAGAAATCGTCATGTAAATTTATTTGAGATAAATTTATTTGAACAAATTTATGGAAAATGTGAGAAAAAATACAATCGATTAATGATTAATGCATGATATAGAAAATAAAAATTGGTGCTGCAGCTGTTGCAGATGAAATTCTGAAAAAGATCATTGGTGCATCATTTGATTTTGGTGCAATATTCTATTCGTCATATGCCACAGCCACGTCGACATCACCGACAATTTGTACTTTTTGAATATCTTCAGTTTCCGTTTGATATTTGAACATTCGATTAGGATCTTTGTTAACGAAGATCTATGAAAAAAGTGGTTTATAAATGGTAAATCTTTATTGCTGTTTAAAAAATTTTTTTGATTTTAAAATTTCTCTCTTTGTTTAACTCATCAAAATAGGTACAAAAAAGTCCTTAAACCTCAATTGCACCATTTTTTCTCTTGAATTGCAAATCGAAGTCGACAAGTCTCTCGAATGGCATCGGTCCTTCTCTCTCTTCAGCTTGCCACTTTTTGGATCTAAACGAGTTGCGCGAAACTACCTTAAAAAAATTAACTATAGTGGCAAATTGTATTACTGCTAAAGGCTGTATATCGCCCACTTTCTTTTTTTGAATTCAGGCTGAATCTTATTAATTGATTTGTTATTCAGTGCAATTCAGTGAGAAGGGAATGGATTCTATTACTGTCGACGATGGTGTCAGATCGCGCAGCTTGTCCTGCCCTTGTAGTCAGTGGAGCCAGCCTAACCAGTAATGGTGAGAGCTTAAGAAGTAATTCAACTTTAATTTTCATTTAAATCCTCTGAGAATTCTTGAGGGAGCAGAATGTGACGCGCAGTACTTTGTTTTTATTTTTAACAAATAGCAATTCATGTTTCAGTTTTAAGTTCATTTTCTTCATACATTCCTTTGATAATGGGAAATTTGCAGCTACCATTTTTATATAGGCTCGTTCATTTGGCTGCTTATAATACTTAAATAATTTCCGAGAGCCTTTAAGATTTGCGACAGATTTGCGGAAGCATAGAATTTTTGCCTGGGCCATTCGGATTTTTTGATAATAAGTTCACTTTGTAATTAATTAACAGATTCGGTCTTACTGTTCTCCAATTTTTTTTTTAATTTTTTAAAAATATTATTTATTGAAAAAAAATTAATGAACTATGGAAATTATTTCAAAAGGAAGTTAAAAAAAAAAACTTTTTCATCGAATCTTGGATTGAAATGTAGCATAATATCGTCATTGCTATTGAAAAAATTTACAGCAAAGCGAAAGGCATTGCTGTTTGGTCGTCCCAACAAAAAAAAGTCTTCCCATCCTTTAATTAATAGTTTCTCATATGGAATTAGCTGCAAAAAAAATAACTTTATTAGCCTCGAAAAATGAATGATAATTTTATAAAATAATTTTATTATTATAAAATTATTAAAATTATTTTAGACTAATGCTAAAACTCCTAAGTCCTAAAAACATTGAACTAACACTCTGGTAAAACTGGTAAGAAAACCGAGAACCATCATAAATCTTCTTTCAAATTGTCTATCAACTAACATAATAACCCCCTCTGAAATCCACGTAGTCTCCTGGAGCAAAGCCTCCATCGAAATGAACTTGATTAACTGTTGAAATTGGTATGCGATATTTAAATTTTGCTATCTCTCTTCGATTACACGAAATCTAAAAATAAAAGGAATTTAAATAAAACTATAGAAAAGAATTAAAAAAATAAAATGAAGACACGATAAGACCCGCATATAATCCGGATGAGCGCGTAATCTAATATCATAGTATTCTCCGATTTGAAACGGATTATCTGTTCGTTCTTCTTCGCCCCATATTCCTCTTTCCATTGCGTTAAACACAATCTTCAATTTTAGCACTTTCATATTTATTTTCACAGTAATATTTTCAACAATATTTGCTCTAATAATAATAAATAAACATAGTATAAAAATAAGAATTAAAGATTTTCATAGATTCTAAATAAGAATTGGAAAACAAAAAATTTAAATTTAATATGTCCACTAGCCTTTTGTTCATCAAAGCGAACTGACATATGGAATGGAATGGAACTACCACAACAACCATCAGTCGACTCGCAATGACAGAGTTCGATTATGAACCTAAAGCAATTTAATGATTTATCTCCACTTATACTTCTAGATTTGAGCCATTTTTGCCCTTTTATAGATATTAATAGCCCTCCTTAGATCCATAAAATTCTAATCACATTACATTTCATTCCAAACATTATCCTTGAATAATCCTTCCCACATATATTTTTTATATTCATTCAAAGGCTTTGCTATTCTCATTCCTCAACGAAGTGAGGTCTTTCATTCTTACTTGTCTATTTTTAATTTTTCAAAATCTTTTATGGCCCTTTAACGTTGTCTCATATGCTCTAGCAACTTCACTTATTCATTCTTATATCTATTGATGCGAGAAAATCATTTTTCCGACTTCAAATTCTGTCAACCATCTGTAATAACTGGGCTAAGCTATCTCGCTTTCCTTGATAATTCACAGCAAAAAGAGAAACCATTTCGTTAGAATCCATACGTTGCTGGGTCGCTAGGAGGTATCTATAAGCCATTCAACAGCATTTATAACGTAATTGAATACTGTAAGAGAGAGAACATAGACGTGCAGACGTGTTAACTCCTTATACGATATCAATAAATCGAAGATGGATTGCAATAGGTTCTTCATAAGGGACTGGAAGCAGAACTGCTTTATTGCAATTATATGGTATTAGACCCATCTCGAAGCGTTAGAAACAAGATACTCCAGTTATCAGTTATCTCTGATCTGTCGATATGTCGATATGTGATCTGTCGATACCAGCAAGTTTATGGCTCAAAAAAATTCTTTAGCTATACCACAAGTGATAAATGGCGCATGTTGATGATTAAGTTTAATCTGTCGACAGATGAAATGCCTTCATTATGGTTTTGAGAGCATCGTATTATTTAACTATCTTCTCAATCATGGTTGACTTTTAGAAAAAAAAGAATTAGTTTCCAGTTATTCGAAACCATTCCATACTTAGGGCCATATCACTTCAAAAGCAGTTTTTTTTTCACCGTATCGATGCCTTCTAAATGGAACAATTAGGATCTCTTAATATGCGAGCTCTGATGATCTTTCCCTTTCCCGACCATTGGACCATTTTTTTCACACCACTTTTGAATGAAATAAGAGAATTGAAAGATGCATAAGCGCCGGCTGCTTAATATTTTGAGTATTTTCAATCATATTTTGAAATAAGAATATTAGGCGCAACAATGAGATTTTAGAGTTCTTAAGGGAAAGCATATGCGGTTTTGAGAAGTATTATAAGAGAAGGAATATTAGAGGAATACAACAAGTCTGTGACACTTCATCTGAGTATAACAAGTTTGTGACACTTTCGTATCATAAGCGAAAGAAAACAAAAACGAATATAAGCTATATGGGAAAATTGTATGTAATCGAGTGTAAGCCTATTTCAGAGGAAGAAGATTCCAGCTCATGCAAAAATATGTCGAATCTGTGGACTCGCTTTATCTTTAATTCTATGATGATAAAAATCTTTAAAAGAGTCTTAAGAAAATCAAATGAAGTATATAGGAGGATATAGGAGGAAATGAAGTATATAGGAGGATATAGGAGGAAATGAAATATATAGGAGGATATAAAATAATCAGATTGCCTATTGTTAGTCTATAATTTCCATTCTATAATAACTCATTTTTTTCATTTTTTCATTTTTATGAAAATTTCTTAAGAAAAACCGAAAAACTCTATCGTATTTGCTAACAAATATTTGCAATTTGCACATTTACAATTTGCACATTTTTCTTTTTTCTTTAAGAAATTTTGGAATTCAAATGAAAAAAGGTAATTATGCAAAATGTAATATAGTGTTATTCATCATCGGAAGCTATTTTCTATTCTTTAAAATACGAACCGATTTTTTCCTTCTATTAAATTTCCTCGTATAACAAGTATTGCACCTGGTTTGATTTCATTCACAAGTTGGCCATAAATGTTGTAATCCTGAAAAAAAAATATGAATTATCAAATTTTTATATTTGCATATTTAAAATATTTGAAAAAAATCAAATCCACGAATTACGGAAAAATCTATGGAAAAATCCTCGAATCCTAAAAAACTGCGAACCATAGTAAATAAATAAATAAGCATTTTACGAATGATTTAAACAAATATTTATTTCGAATTGAAAGGGATTGAAAGGAGAACCGAATGCGAAAAAAAAAACCATTTTGGATTTTGGATTTTGGATTTTCATTTAATACCGTTTGCATCTATTACAATTTTAGCTGACTTATTGAAGGATTCTTTAGAGGTTGGAAAATTTCAGGCTCAAATAAGGCTTTCTTAAATTGGAAGCTTTGTCTGGAATAAAGACCAGCAAAGTCCGAACTCTTGGTTGGTTACAATATTATTAACCCAGCTACAAATATTCAATAATCAGTGGAATTAATAAAGTATTCAACGAGGAATTCTCGAAACTTTATCGGTTATTGCGTAAAATAATAAACTTTTCATTAAAAAATCTGGAGATTTAGGCCATTTTATGTACTTTTGTTATGCCAGTTAACTCCCTGGCAAAAATTTTCAATCCAGTGGAGATAAATTTAAAGAGATGCTGGCGACTCACCTGTATTTCTATCGTCAAAGGACTCCCTGGTATATTTGTGCAGTGCCGCAAGCCAGAGGAGCATGTTTAAGCAGTAATGGTGAGGAGTTTTAAAAAAAAAAAAATGAAGATCTTAACTACTTATTTGCTCAAGCCAATAAGTAATTAAGGTCTCCATTTTTTCATTATTCGATATTGATCGTGGCTGTGGTTTGTGAATGCAAAAATTTATTAATATTTATTTATTAATATTTATTAATATTAATATTGTACTCGAATAAAATTGGCTTTATCAAGTCAATTAGGTGAATAATCAATCAATAGCGCTTAAATAATGGTTTAGGAAATTTTTTTGGAAATTTTTAAAACAAAAGTGTTTCGAGAAATTTGTATCATAAAGAAACAACTAACAAACTTAAATTTTTCCGTAATGGCAAAAGGCTCAGCTTTCGATAATCTGAAATTTCGTCAAATTAATCAAACAAAATTTATGCAATAGTTTTATTTAGCTTTATTAATTTCGATAATCGGTTAGAAAATATTAGAAATGTCGCAATCCATTAATATAATTAGCTGATGATTGTAAAATTTATTATTCTCATGGTAGAACAGATAGCCTATCTCCACTGCAGAAGGACCTCAATAAAATAGCCAGCTGGCTATGACAGGCTATTACCCTTTCCTTTCAAAAATGTAGCTTTCTTCATATCAATTCTAAAGGTCTCGATTTTCCTAATCTTATTATTAATGGCAATTTAATCAGTAAAGCCACACACATTTCCGAATAATCATAGACGAAAATCTCGATTTCGACCTTCATTGCAGAACAATAGTAAAGCAATCCTCAAAGGTAATAAATTTTATTTTTTGTTCATTTAAGAACAAAACTGAATATTTCCTTATTAAAATGTACAAAGCGTTCGTTCGACCACTTCTTTACTACAGTACTACATGTTACTCTCCGAGATATCGTAAATCAAGTAAAATAATTGGAGGACTCTAAAAATATTTTATACGGCACCTCTTTCCTAATTGCAATTTTAATTATAAAAGAAAACTTCTACAATATAACTTGGATTCTCTGTCAATTCATCGTATTAAACAAGATTTAAATTATACTTATAAGATTTTGTATGGTTATGTTAAACTAGATTATTCAAAATATTATAATTCAATATTATATTATAATTATATTATCAATATTATATTATCAATATTATAATTCAAAATATTACAAATATTATAATTAAATTTAAATCCAACAAGAATTAATGAGCTAAAATTACTAAAACCTATGTGTAAAACTAAACTAGGAACTCATGATTTCTTTATTCATATTATTAATTACTGGAATAAATTACCCAACGATATAGCTTATGCGCCAACCCTAGCCATTTTTAAAAAAAGATTAGATAATATCATTTATAATATTATTTAAAAAATTCACATCATGCAGGAAGTGTAAAATCGTGATTTTAACCATCCGATTATAGTTATTTCGAATTGTACTATATTATATTATTTTATAATTTCCTCTTTTTTCATCTTTAAATTATTAATTTTATTTTATTATTATCTTTTATTTTTGTCATTAATTCTTATTATTTTTTATTAATATAAGCACATGGTGTTTGCGCCTTGCTTGGCTGGTTTTCAATAGATAAATAAACATACTTTTGATGTTTATGCGAGGTGGAAGAATCTTCTTCTTTTTCCATTTTGCTTAATATGTGAAAAAATAATCGAGCAAATTATTGAATTTCCAGCCAAATGCTAACTTAGTTATTGATTATAGTTCAGTTTTTTCTGGAAAAAAAATTGCATAAAATGATTTCTCAATTCTTGATTTAATGGTTCATTAAATCTCAATTTTGATTTATGTAGCATTATGATTCGCTAAAAAAAAAAATTTTAAAATCTTATTTATCTTATATTTCGAACATTTGCAAATAAATCAGATAATTAATTCTCTTATCACAATCTATAAATCACTTTGGTGAAGTTTGGTGTTATAAAAAATGCTATGAGAATAGAATGATAAAAAAACGGTATAAAACGAAAAGATACTCACATATTGACCAATTGATAAACCATTCCCTTATGAAAATTCGCTCGTAAGGCATAGATATTTGCACTTCTTGATTTGGATGCTTTTTATAGGAATCCATTGGCATTTTTTTCCGTCGCAATTCGCAAATTTCCAAATATACAATATGAAATATTAATATTAATGACAGTCAAAATAAATCATAGAAATTTGAAATATCTATGCTTGTGATGTTCTAAGCCATATTTTTTAATCAAAGAAATATGCGCAAAATTTGCCGAATTTTATTTAAATTTTATTTGTTTAAATATTTTTTTTTATTTAATTTATTTTTTTTTAGATTCCAATTGTGCTATATTCTTCAGAATAATATAACTTTTATTTTTCACTTGTTCATCAATTTTTGTTTATTTATAATATTTATAATATAATTTTTATTTATACTGAAAAAAGAGAATTATTCGTTTTTATGAACTGTATATTAATTACAGATAAATGTGGAATAGAATGGCTCAGTGGGTTGTTAATTCCGAGCGCCGATGTTGAAGTTCTGTTCACCACAAGAGTTAAACTGTCCAAAAATCTGGGTAATACTGAGTTGTATTCCTATCGCCGTGGGACTCTCTGGCTGCTTACCTAGTGTGGCAGACCAGCGGAAGAAGTATATACCCAGTCATGATGAGGGCTCTCTTTAAAAAAAAGAGAGAAAAACTATGAGTGAGGACTTTTAGAAGATAAAGTTTTTGAAGAGAACCGTAACTGTCGATAGCAGCAAAATTAACAACGAAAATTGGCCTTTAAATTAATTTACGATCATATTTTTATAATTATTTTTTCTTATATATCAGATAGTGGCAAAATCGCAATTTATCGATAAAATAAAGAAGTAATAATAATCGCTTATAGAAATAGAATGTAAGAATTATTTTAGACCCTCTCTCATAAACTAATGATCAAAGGAAATATCGCTATAATTAGAGATTCTTTTTTTTGGCGAAAAATCGCTATAATCGCTGTAATTAAAACGAGATTTTATATTCTTCTGCATAATGATCTAATGGCTAATGAGAATAAAAAATCTATCTGAGGAAATTGCCCAAATTTGGCCGCTTCTGATTAAGATATATCCCATGTGACCGCCAAGCGGATAATTTATGCAAGAATGATTTTACATAACATTCACAATCAATCAAACACCATCTTCATGAATATTATCGTTGCATCTACTGGCTTTTTTCGTCATTTCACTCCTTAATAGCTGTTTTTATCTCCTTTTCTTCATGATGAATGAACGCAAAAGATGAGAGCAACAATCAAAATATTGAACTGCTGAGATATTGAACTTATAAAGCAACGATGTATGAACTGAGGAAGTAGGAAAAGAATGGGCATTACTACTGCAAGTCTTATCTTATTTTACACTAATCGCCAGTGCAAAATCATTACGTATTGTTATGAGCTATTAGAAGAAGGATTGTTTTAATAATATTAGTTTTATCAACATTATTATTTATTTATATTTTTATTTATACAGAGGAACAAATGAGGATATAATGCCAGATGTTGATAACAATAAATATTGATGAAATGATAAAAAAATCCAAAATCTACCTAAAAGAAAATAAGGACAACGTCGCATGGCGTAGGTTAAAAAAAATTGTATCAACCTAAAATAAAAACTGTTAAATGTTGTTCAGTTTTATTTTATTTTATTTTAAAATTGCGTATATTATGATAAGAAGCAATTTATTCGAACACAAAATAGCACATATCACCATCTTTTCCCTTTAATATTCCATCGATCTTCGTTAAAAAATTTTAGCTTTTCCGCAACAGCAGTAATTAAAACTTGCAAGATTATAGAAGGAGACAATCAAGTTGGTGGAGGATTTCAAAGGAATTTGGCGGAAAATTGAAGGATTTAAGAGAGTAATGCACCAAAGCCGATGCGCTGTTAAAGGAAATGTTGGTGATTATGAGTGCGTGAAGGCAATAATTCTAGAATAAATGAATCCTACCTACCACAGAACGACTTCATATCTGGTACGCATCTGGTATACATTTCTAATTTCGCAGACTTGAAATTCTCCCCCCTTCTAATTTCGCAGACTTGAAATTCTCCCCCGTTCTAATTTCGCAGACTTGAAATTCTCTCCCCAGTATAACTTTTCAATTTTTGAAACATGATTTGACTGCGGTTGGTTAAATAACAATAAAATTTCAAATACTTTTACTTTACTGGTTTTTGCTTAAGAATTTAAAAAAAATCTGCCATCGTAAATGAACCCGCTAAATGGAAATCCATTTCGAAATTTAGATTTCTTCTTATCATTCTCATTTTAAAAAATTTCCCTAATATTTTAATATTTATAATATTAAATTTATAATACAATTTATAATTTGTTTATAATATCATATAACGCATAATGAAATATAGCTACTTGGCATATTAGGAACCATTATTTCCGTTTATTTATTCATTTATTTATTCTTTTATTCGGAAACCGGTTTCGGGAATTTTTTATATTTAGTGATAGTCGTTAAATGGAACCACAAACTATTAAAGAAATAAAAATCAGATTTTTTTGATGCCATTGAGAATTTTTCAGATTGAAAAAAATTTACAAATTAAAAAAAAAAATTACGAAAAATTCTACCCCTTCGGTTCCATTTTAGCTATAATAAAATAAAATTAGACTCAAACTATATCATAATAATAGATAAAATTTTAGTGAATGCCGATGGGTATTTCCAATAAAACTTGGAAAAATTACTTTTGCACACAAATTTTACAAGGAAAAATCTGGCAAATCTAGCTGAATTTTAAGGGAATTAAATGAATTATGCTAAATAAAAAATATTTTAATTAATCTTTTTACTCGTTGATTACATCGTTCTTTGTTATTTTTTTTTAAATCATTTGAAGATTACAATAGAAATTTTAAATTATTGAATAAAAATAGTTCGAATTTCATCACTTCTTCGATTTATAATTGACCACATTCAGCGATAACAACTTCTGCCTTTGGCTCACCGTTTCTCGTTCCCTGAAACGATTAAATTTTTTAACTGAAAAACCTAAAATATTTTTAAATAAAATAATGGTGAGTGAAAATGTTTATTATTATTTATTTATTTCATTATTTATTATATAAATTATCACTAAAATTTACTATTTAATATACTACTTTATTATTTATAATTTAAATTGTTTTAAATTTTTTTCGCCGACAAGAAGGAATTTTACTTCTCGTTTTACTGGATTTGACCTATCAATTATAACAAAAATTGAATTGAGAAAAAATCGCGTTGCCATTAATAAATTAAGTGAATCTAATTTATTTATTTATTTAAAAAAAATTTTGCATTAAAAAATTTAATTTTAAAAAAAATGCCTCTTTTTCGATGCGCTGTACAACATCCATACCGCTAATAACTTTACCAAACACGACGTGTTTGCCATCAAGCCAACTCGTTTTTACAGTGCATATGAAAAACTGAGATCCGTTTGAGTTTGGCCCAGCGTTTGCCTGCAACAAATTTTTAAATTAATATAGTATACTTAAAAAGGAAAAAAAATCGAAATATATATTTGTTATTAGGGCAAAATACGTGAAAAATTTGTATAGTGAAAAGAAAAAAAGAATTGAAATTAATAATGTGGAAAAATAAAAAATGGATTCTAGTAGAAGTGGAGATTACTGGATGAATATTATGGAGTTTTATATATTTCGTACATGTGCTAATATAGCATTTGATAGCTTATCACTATGCGTCAATTTTCTGATAGGAAATTTCATGGACAAATGAATTTCTTTTTTTTACGAGATATTATTTTTTTTTCTTTATTTTTTATTTTATATTTATTTATTTTTTTAATTTTATCGTTAATTTTACGAGATATTATTTTTTTTTTTCTTTATTTTTTATTTTATACTTATTTATTTTTTTAATTTTATCGTTAATTTTACGAGATATTATTATTTTTTTTCTTTATTTTTTATTTTATACTTATTTATTTTTTTAATTTTATCGTTAATTTTACGAGATATTATTATTTTTTTTCTTTATTTTTTATTTTATACTTATTTATTTTTTTAATTTTATCGTTAATCTTTTTTCCGAATTTTATTGAATTTTAAAATCAAATCGAATGTATCCCAGATTAAACTATAAAAATTTTTAAAAGTTATAAAATAATAATAGAAAAAAATAGAAATGAGTTATTAAATAATTGTAAAAAATAAATAAATCTAATTAAAACAAAAATCCGAACAGCTGATGAGGAGCCCCGACTGCACCTTTATCCCCAATTAACTCTATAGTGAATATTTGCGCTCTCAACCGATTTCTGCACTGTGACACCGACAATATTTGATTTAATGGTAAATGCAAAAAATATTTGGGCCTGACGAAGGCAAAAATAATAGTGCAAATTTTTTTGAAATAAGGAAACTTAAGGTTTTTTTTGAATGCATAATTGAGTGAATTGAGAGAATAATGACTTTTTAAAGTACCATTGAAAGTGTTCCAGGGCCAGTATGCAGGGCAGTAAAATTCTCATCTGCAAACGTTTGACCGTAAATTGATTCTCCACCGGTTCCATTACCACGAGTAAAATCACCTCCCTAAATTAAATGAATTTAATAAATAAAATAATTTTTAAACTTCTAGCGATTAATGAAAATAATCGAGGAAAAAATCAAAAAAAAGCTAAAAATTTAAAATAAAATTGAACTTGGCACATAAATTCGGGAATAATTCGATGAAATTTGCTTCCTTTATAATGTAATGGTACACCATTCTTTCCTATTCCTTTCTCTCCGGTGCAAAGCGCTCGGAAATTTTCGGCAGTTTTTGGTACAATATCATTGAATAACTAAAAAAAAGAAATATGATTTAAAATTTTTAAAATCATTTAAAAGATAATTTAGTTTTTTAATATGTAAAATTATTTTTAAAAGATAATTTATTTTAAAATATTATGAATATTAAAATATTTTTTAAATATATTCAATAGATTATATTGACAAATATCGGTGAATTTAATCTAATCAACCAAAGCGATCTAAGAGCATTTTGAATATAAATTCTTTTTTTTCTAACAGCACTCACCATTGCTGGTATGGTGCTTGGAAAAGTTTTATAAGATGGATGATATGACGCCGCTAGAGGCATATTTGCAGATAGAAGATTGTAGATGAGTCCTCAGGACACATTTTCATTTCTGTGCTTATGATATCTCCACTAATACCCGCCAAGGTGAAAATTTAGCAATTCAATCGCCCTCATACTCCCCACCATACACATTTCACTTGCTTGAAAAATATCGTTATACGAGTAATGTTTGAAAATTTCGATGAATAAATTAAACAAATAGAAAATTGAAAGAAATCAATGAACAACCAACCAATGATCAAATGAATCGCATCAATTTCAAACAGTTGCTTTGCCAGAAAAATTTTTCTTAACAGTGAAAACTAAGAATTTTTTTCGCACACCCTAACCATTATTTTATATTACATTTTAAATTTCTTAATAAAAATTAATAAAATTACTTATTTTATTAAGTGAATAAATAATAAATAAAAATTACTTCCATAACAATTCGACCAACCGATTTACCGGAAATTGTAATATCAAAGAATACAGTTGGACGACCCATAATAAAAAAAATTCTAAAAAAAATATGAAAAATCATGGACTTTTTTTATGAAATACGAAATTACGAAAATAAGTATCATTCCCTGTCGCAAAGTAGAGCGGTTGACACGAAAATCATGAATAAAATGACACGGCAATTAACCATCGAGACCGATTACGGAGGTTCAGTGGAGCATCACCAGATAAATATATGTTAAGCAATAAAATCAAATATAAAAATATACATATATAGGAAATTATACGAATTATGATAAGGAGAAGTGATTCTGATAAGGAATATGGATTGCGATAAGGAGTTTTAAGAAAGGATATTATAAAAAGAACGATTTTTATTATATCAACTAATAATAAGTTGATGAAGAAGAGCTGTCGTTGTTGTAAGAATATTTGCGAGGAGAGTTTTCTTTCTCTTCGAAAATCGCGTTCAGTAATCAATTAGTTCAAAACTAGAATTATTAAATCATTTAAAATCATTTAAAAAATAAAAATATAATTAAAAATCTAAAATTTAGAAATATTTTAGAAAAATAAAAAATAAGAAAAAAAATTTTTTCATTAACAAAATATTAAACGATCAAATGCGATTTAGAAACTCAAATAAACGAAACTTTTTATTTCGCAAACAAATGAAATGAGATCGTTTTAGCGAGTGAGCAATCGTCGTCGATCGTGTCGACGATAGAAATCGTATTTGCGAAAGGTTGCAAAGGTCATCGACTTGACAAGTTCAAACGAAAATAACAATAATATTATTGCTATTATTATTCAACCAATTATAAAAATTAATTAACATAAAAAAAAAAAAATCATAAAATCTGAATTTTTTGGTTATTTAGACAGTAGTGATTTTTATGAACAAAACCGATAGAAATATAGAAAAAGATGACGATTATAGTATTATTCGTACAAAATATTAGCTATAGCAAAGCGATGGTGGAAATATAGTTTAATTTTTGATGAATAAAAATTATAACAGTTGAAAAGAATACGAGGAGGATAATGAGAAAGGAAAAAGGAGAGAAAGGAGAAGTATATGAAAGGGAAGAAAAAACAAAATTCTATTTAATTTGCTGTCCACATAACCGAAGTGATGCGTTTAAAAACATTTCCAATCGTAATAAACTGAATTTTAATATAGTATTTTAATACTTTTTAAAATATGGTTGATAGGGAAACACATTACATTAATTTACCACTTTTTCTTCTTCTAACAGCTCTCATTACTAGTCGGCTGGCTCCGCTGGCTACAAGGGTAACACATCTCCAGTCTGCGCGATCTGACGCCATCGCTAGCAGTAATAAAAGCCATTCCTTTCTCCATTGTCTAAGTCCATATATTACTGGTCCACTTAGTCGTTCAAAATCTTTTCTAGCTGTATCAATCCAGATTTTGATTTGCGCTTTTCGGTTTCGGCGCCAAGCGTTTAGCAAGTAAAGAAATATGTATCAACTCCTGTGATGAACAACGGAGAACGTGCCCTAACCAGCGAAGACGACGAGACGAAGACTCTATGATAACATTATTAAATAAGCGGTATTTGAGCGAAGATAGATACAATCACGTACGATTTTATCAGCTTTAAAATATGTATCTTAGACATGAGCCATCCGCCACTAAATCAGAGTATAATTTTATAAAAATCAGATCAAATTATGAAATTTCCCAAGAAAATGCTGAAAAAGTGGAAGAAAAAAGAATTATTTCAAAGAATCGAAAGAATCACACTGAAAATACAAAAAAAAAACACACAGATTGAATTATTTAAATAAAAATTATAATTGAAATTTATTTATTTTAACGGGATCTGATATACTACTATTAGAGATTAAATATTCAGGGAATTTAACAACGGCATCAGAAATGATAAAAGAATTGAAACGATGATAGGAGATTGCAACGAGTAGAATGACTGGATTGTTGTTCAGTTCCGAGCGCCGATGCTGAAATTTTCCCCACAGGAGAAAACCTGTTCAAAAATCCGGATAATACTGGCGATTCACCTGTACTCCTACCGCCAAGAGACTCCCTGGCATATTTGTGTTGTCACAAGCTAGCGGAGCGAGTCTAACCACTAATGGTGGGGATTTCTTTTAAAAAAGTATTAAAACGAGACTTAAAAACGATATTATTACGGGCTGTGATAAAAGAATAATCGGCATTTGGAAAGGGCGGTGAAGAGATACAATGGAATTCAAAGCGATGTTAATATTTATTAATAGTTTGCAACAAAACACGTTTTGATGATTTTAAGAATTTTAAAGATGAACTATTAAAGAGAATGCAATTTGGTTAAGAGAATTGAAGGAGCATTATTAGTGGTTTATAGTATAATAAAATCTTTAGTGATGGTACTATAGTGACCTATAACTGAATTTAAAGGGCTTTTTGGCAAGGCAAAGTCGATTTTTTATGGAGGGCCTAGGCTGCTTAGAGATTTTTATGTCTTTGAAAGGCTTAAATTTTAAAGCTGAGAAAAGCTTTCAAAAATTTCGAAAGGATAACTACGATAGTTTCAGCAGAATATTTGCAGAAAATGAAGTGAAGCCAAAAGTGCCAAAAAATCACGAAAAAGAAATTCGTTTCGATATTTTGACCGCTAATGAATAGATTTAACTAATTTGAACTCTGTAAAATTGTAAAGTTTACGAAGTTGAAGAAGCATATTTTCAACTTTGTGGCTTTTACATACTTTAATATCAGAATTTTAATTAGTGTAATGTGCATTATTGAATAATAAAGGAATAATTAATAAAAATAAATGCATGAAAAATAAGGAAAAGCAAAAAATTTCATGAATTTTTGGCTGTTCCACTATTTTAGGGCTTTCAATAATGAAAAGTAAAAAAGCATATTTATTTTTAAATAATAGTAAATATTTGGCTTTTTAATTTTTACAATTTATTACTTTTAAAATTAATGTTAATAGCCAAAAAAAGAGAATTTTTAATTGATTTCAAGAAAATAATTGAAAATATAAAAAAATTTGGAAACTAAATGGTTTTTTGTTTCAATGGAAAAGCTGAAATTTTTAAAAAATTAATTGTTTTAAGATTTTTTCAGTGAAAATCAATGAAAATTTTTTTTATAAATAATGAAGAAAGTTATAAGAATGAATTTCTGAGTTAATTATTTAATCCAGTTTTTTTTTTTTCTTAGAGAAGTTCTGCAAAATTAGTATGAAAGTGAAAATTTTCTGGAAAAATCCAAGTAACTTATGTTGGCAATTAATCATTTGCTGTAATATGTATTTTCGAAAAGGCGTTTTCATCCGCAGTTTCCAAACCTAAGTGTTAATCAATTTTCAAAGCTTTTGATGTCAATCCTGGAACTTCTTTAAAATTTATTTTTAAAATCATATTTAAGTTCCAATTTTTTATAGTTATATATGCTTAAAAATTACTTGTTTAGTTTTTCATTTTTTAAATTTACTTCCTTAAAAATTCACTATTGAATTCACTATCGAAGATTGGTCTAACTTTGCTTCTGGTAAAGCTGCTTAAGGCAGATTTTAGTGTTCATAAGCTAAGTAGCGCTCTTAGAGTCGTTGTTTTCTCAAAAATACTATTAGTGCAAACAGTCCTGTAAAAACTGTAGAAAAATCCACAATGGCCTTTAAAAATTTAACTACACGAGTAAAGCAATTTCTCAAAAATTTAAAATAAAATCCAAAAAATACTGCTAGGATTTTTAATGAAAATATTGAGTCAACATTGAAATATTTATTTGCATTATTTTATCGCTGAAATATTTATTGCTGAAAAATAAAAGTAATAGGAAAAGTAATGAGATTTTTTGTTTTATCATAGAAAATATCGGAATTTATAAGTTTCTCATTGAAATTTTAAAGTTTAAAGTTGAAAGCATAGAAAGATCGCTTAGCAATGATGATAAAACTGCGAAAAATCTATATGAATGAAAAAAATATCTAATTTTTTTTAGCAAAAAAAATTTTTATGATTATAAAAATAAATTATTATTATTATAAAAAATATTATTATTTATTATAATATTATTATATTATATAAAAAATATTATATTATTATTATAAAAAAATTATTTATTATAATTTCAGGTCGATTTTTGACCGTATAGAAAGGAATGAAAGGTATGAATTTCAATGACCGTAGAGACAATCTTTTGTTGTTTCAATAATCCGCAGAAAGCATTCATTTTAAAATTAGAAAAGAAATTACTTTTTCTTCGATCATACAATTTGAAATGATGTAAAACATGAGAAATGAGAAATGAAATGAACAGAAAATGAATAAAATTTCTTTCTAAAATCTCCATGATGCAGAATTATGGAGTGCATGTCGTTTCATTTGAGCCTGAGCATAGATAGGTTCGATTGATAATGCTTGGTACTCACCTGTAATAATTCTTTGGCAAAACACCTCTCCACCTCTCCTAGTAACTAATGCAATTAATCAGAAAAATCAGAAATGATAAGCGCTGCTAGAGATTCTACATAAATTTCGATATCATTGCCTACGTTTTTCATCTAATTTATACACAACGAAAGTATAAAGTTTGTTTTTATTGAGGAAAAAATTAAAAAAGTATTTAGTTCAGCTGTTTTTTACTTATCTAAATCCAAAGAAAACAAATCGTTTTCCAATCATTTCAGTGATAAAGAAAAAAAAAAAATTTCCAGTAGAAATTTTGAAAAACTACTAAATTAATTCGATTTCGATAATTTAGAAATTATCGTATTTGCTTTGGTGTTAAGCAGTGTTCTTAGCAATGATTCGGAGGAAATCGCAAGAGAAGAAGACAAAAAGCAGTCAAAAGAAGAAAATTATAGGAAATTCATCGGCGAGAGAGACTATGTACGTTTATTTTTTAGAAAAAAGCGCTTAATTTTAATAATTATTATATGAAATCGTGGATTAGAATTCAACGAAAACCATATAATAGTTTTAAGTTAATAATTTAATAAACAAAAAATTTAGAATATTTTCAAGAAATTTAGAAAATTTAGAACAAAATATTTTCTCGATAAATCAAAAAATTTCAGCGATTACCATTCAAAACAAAACTTGCAGTACCATTGGATGAAGGAATGACAATTCACGCACTCGGCACGGTGAATTCCGAACCGAAAAGGTTAATTTGGTAATCGAAATCGAAATTATATTTTTTGCACCTTTAGAGTTGGAAAATTTTTAATACAACATAATTGAATAATATTATGTATTTATTGAAATTTAGAATCGATTTCAATTTTCATAAAGGTCCAGATGAAACAGCCAATTTACCACTCCATTTCTCAATTCGATTTGATGAAGGTAATCAATGCATCGTTTTGTTCCTTAAATATTGCCTCTAAAGCACGGGGAGAGAATGGCTCAGTAGGTTGTTGCTCAATTGGGAGCGCTGATGTTGAGATTCGATTCCTCGCAAGAGTGAACCTGTAGAAAAATCCGGGTGATGCTGACGACTCATCTGTATTTCTATCGCCAGAGGACTAGCATATTGTCCAATGCGATAAGCCAGTGGAGCGAGTTTAACCAGTAATGGTGAGGACTCTTTAAAAAAAAATTCTCTAAGGCATAGAGAATTTTTCGAGTTTTTGAAATTGGTTTTTTTGATTTTTGCTACTGAAAAATTTGGAAAGCAAAATGTTCAAAAAATTTTATCAATACTTATCAGTTAGATAAGAAATAGATTAAATAGATTAAAGAAAATATATTATTTTATAACGACGATAAATATAAGAAACTATATTTTTGCGATAAACGATAATATCAAAAAATAGTATAAACACGACTGAAATATTATGATTATTGATAATAATTTCGAGGTATATTCTCCGGTAAACTAGTTTATAATACATTCATTGATGGAAATTGGAGTGATAATGAACAACGAATTTCAAATCCGTTTCGTGCTAATGAGAAATTTGATCTTCGTGTGCGAATTCTCAATGGCAAATATGAGGTTTATCATTCATTTTAATCAGTGAAATTGCTATAATAATATAGGCGAAATCTGAATTAAATTAGAAAATATTGCAAAAGAAAAATCTCATTCAATAAATCATTTTTTAAAAATGGTTTGGTACAAACCGAAAAGAAATCGATTAACGATAATGATCCTAATCACTAATCAATTAACGATGACGACCCTAATCAATCTTTGGAAAATTTCTCAGATTTTTAGAAACTGATAACAAATGATAAATGACGAATTAAGAACAGATTTATAGTGGAAATTTGGGACGAAATGAAATTACCCAAGCCGACTTTGTAAATTTATTAAAAACCTCAAAATTATCATTAATAATTAATTAATTATTGCCACATGCGATTATAAAAATTTATAAAAATAATATAAAATTTTGAAAAATCGTATATTAAATATGAATGAATCTTCGAACTTGAACTTTAAATTATTTTAATCATTATTATTCGATAAAATAATTTAAAAATATTTATTTCTTTAATGAGCAATATAAAAATTTATTAAAGGCATTCGCGAATCGTAAAAAAATTGGCGAATTCGGTCAACGCATGACTTTAGATGGAGTATGTTCTTCTGTACATTTTTTCTTTCTGAACCTAATCTATTTAAAAGTACCAAAGTCGCTAATCAGAATTTGTTAAGCAGTTCGAAATTTCCGACAGCTCTTCTAAAAATATAAAATTAGCCAGAAAATCATCGATCGATAGACAATATGTATAGAAATCGAATTTATATATAAATAGAAATAGAATAAATAAATAAAAAATTTTCTTGGATAAGCCAATAAACAATCGAAGATTGCGAATTATTCGAATTAGGAAAATAAAGAAAAATTAAAATTTATATAAAAAAAACCAATGAAAAAAATAAAAATTTTTAAAAAAAACTAATTAGTGAAAATATTCAATTTTTTTTCGAAATTAAATTAATAGTATAGAGAAATTTAATTAAATAAATTAAAAATTATTATTATGGATAAAAAAATTTTTTGCTATAATTTCGATTTCTTATAGGTCGATCACGTATCGGTGAGCGGTGATTTATCGAATTTACGACTGTTTCATTATGGTGGACGTTTATTTCCCATTCCGTATACGGCAGTTGCAAATCTCACACCAGGCAAACGCCTTGATATATCAGCTCTTCCTACTGGTAAGATTTTCGCTAAAAATTTCTTATAAAAAAAGAAAAAATTGAAAATTGAATATATTTTTATTCGATTAACGATTACCAACAGTAAGAACCAACAACAACTATTCTACATTTTCATTGATTCACCACTGTATTGTATCATGAAAAAATGAAAATATGTGCTTTCTGAAGTATTATTATAGTTCAGAGAAATGAAAGAGCTGACTGATTGCCAATAGCGATAAGTATTTCTACTTATTAGTATTTTTGCCTTTTTGAAATTCCAATTTCGATTTTTTCACCTCCCTTATCAATCATCATTGAAGAATTCTTTACCTATATAGCCGATGCAATGTATAGCTGCTATTCTTATAACGGCAATGGATAGGCATTTTTATAACGACAATGGATATGCCCTCTTATAAAAGCACTGGATAGGCATTCTTATAACGGCAATGGATAGGTATTCTTATAACTGCACTGGATAGGCACCCTTATAACGGCAATGGATAGGCATTCTTATAATGGCAACGGATAGGCACTTTTATAACGGCAATGGATAGGCAATTTCTTATAAGGACACTGGAAATGGCAATCGGTTATACTTCGCCAAAAGATAATACGTCTTAAACTTTATAAATTAACCTAAATAAATGCATAAAAATCTTTTAAAGGAAAACGAATAAATATTGACCTTTATCATTCGGATCGGCAACAAGCGCTTGAATTATCAATTCGCTTTAATGAGGGTGCTGTGGTACGAAACGCAATGGAGAATCATAATTGGGGTAAAGAAGAACGAGACGGTGGTTTTCCGATAAATAAAGGCGAAATGTAATATGCATTTCATTTCATTATTTTTGCTTTAAAATTTAAAAAAAAATTAAATTTTTAAAATATAAAAAAAATTGGCAAATAAGTTGGCAAAATTAGACCATTAAAAAACTATAATACTAAATTATTAAAAATATGTGGAAATTTATAAAAATTCTAAATCAATTGAACGATTAAAAAAAAACGGTAAAATAAACATGGAAAATTAGTGATTTCAAAAATCTCATATGTTCCTATCAAAAAAAAAAATTTTCATTTTTTCAGCTTCGATTTAACCATTATCAATGAGAAATTCAGTTATCAAATTTTTTTCAATCAGAAACGTTTCGCAACATTTGCACATCGCGGATCACCTGACGATATTGAAATCTTAGAGATAAGCGGTGATTTGGAGCTCTATACGGTGACAATAAATGATGCATTAGGAGTTTAACGATTGAGCGACCTGAGAAACAAATTCTTTTGCGTCCTAAATCGAATTTTTTACCATTCACCATAATTTTTTTATTTGGAATAAAATGGTAGAGCATTATGTTTCTGCAATAATCGCAATAATTTAGGTTTAATTTTATGCATCTAATTTCATAAAATAAGTGAAAAACTTTAAAAAAAATGCAAAAAAGTGAAATTTCCGAAAAACCCGAATAAAAAATAAATAAATTCCAAATAAAGCCTCTGCCTATAAAATTTGACTATCCTATATATATATATATATATTTCATCATCACTCACCATAACTGGTTGGACTCGTTCCACTGCGCCTATAAAATTTGACTATCCTATATATATATATATATTCATCATCACTCACCATAACTGGTTGGACTCGTTCCACTGCCTCGCTGGCTTGTTGGAGTAGATAAACATGCCAGGAAGTATCCTGACGATAGAAGCGCAAGTGAGTCGCCAGTATCATTCGGATTTTTGGAGAGATTTTACTGTCAGGAATGAAATCTCACAGCATCGGCACACCGAATCGACAACCCACTGAACCATTCTCTTTTCATTTTTCTGTTATGTGACACCGCAGTCCGATCTCGGCCTGATTCGATCCGAAACTCGGTCCTCGCTGGCAATTATCTTGATTCAGCTATATATATATATATCATACAACATAAATTTCTTTCCTCTTCTCATGGCAGTAGATAGGAATCAGGAATCAATGTTGATGGATAAAGCAACACAGGGTGGTAGGAATAACAGGAAAAAGAAATTTGAGAAATTAGAGAAATATTGGAGAAAAAATGGAAAATAAAGGCCAAAATAATTCCATCCAAAAATCCAATGATCTGAACTTTGCAGAACTTGTAACTATGACTTCTAATCTAGAAAAGTGGTTTCAGTAGATTTCAGGAATAACATCAGAGGAACAACATATCTCTATCCAGAATGTCGCACCATTAGGAATTAGGAGCATCGAAAACACTGCACAGAATATCCCAGGCCTCTGGTAGATTACCCCACGTTACGAATAATCACGACTACCCACAGGGGATGAGAAAAAACCACTTTTTTCCCCTCCCTCTTCACCTACATCTGTGGCTGTATTTGTCTTTCTCTACTGCGGATTTTCTACTAGAAGCCTCAGAGATTTAATTTGAAAGACCTTTATTCAATAATTCTAGGAATGATTCGCAAAAGTGGTGTTGCATGCAAAGAGAAGTCAATATAGACAAAATGCATAAAATTTGGCCAAATTTGCATGAAAGTTTCTCGCTCATATTAGTGATCAAATAATTTACTTTCTAGTCATGTTCGAAACCTAAATTGCTTTCTCCAATAGGTCGCTTCATTATTTTTCACTGATTAGATTAGTTATCAGTTCTATCATTTGGTGCTTAAATATTTTTATGCGTATTTTATGCGTATAATATTTCTAATACGAATTACAAATAATCAAATGAATTGAATCTTAGCGTTCCTTAAATCCACAAAAAAAAAAAAAAAATTTCTAAATAATTTAGGATATCAAAAACTAAAACTTTTAAAATATTTAAAATAGAAAAAAAAAAATTCTTATTCTTTTGTAAAAATTTTAACCGTCGTGGAGATTTGAAAAATTTATCACATCCTTAAACATAGAACCGCGTAAAACTTTGAATATTTTCCATGATTTCAGCAAATTTCACGATTATTTCATTGCTTTCGTGGAAAAGCTTATCATCAACAAGTAAAAGTAAATTCTAAAAGTTAATTTTTAAAGTGCAGAACAAAGTGTAAAAATATTAGTTATTGGGCAAGGAAGAGATATGAAAATCGAAATTTGCATTAATTTAAAATTAATAGTTGATATAATTTGAAAAAAATTTCAGAATACAATATTAAAAAATATTTCACTTTTCCTAAGAAAATCGAGTTTCTTTCAAATAAAACAATGAACAATGAACAAAACTGGTTTCATTTTCACTATTAAAAAAAAAAAAAAAAAATTCTTAGACTAAACGTATGATACATGGTACTTGAATGAAATAATTTGCATGCTCACTGATTCCGATTAGAATCGAAACAATTTAATAAGGCAATAAATCAGACATTTTAAAATCCTCTAAAATTCTTTATTCATCAAATTTTATCAAATTGAAATTTTATTATCAATATCATTTTCAGCGTAAAATCCTGTTGATTGTCGGTAACTGGAATGCTGCGATTCGACAGCGACAATCATCGTTGACCATTGGGATTTTCACCATATAAATCCACTTAAGAGATCGCCGCATTTTATTTATGAACTATTTTTCATTTACAAAGAAATCGATTTCATTCTTAAAAATTACATTTTTCGATATTTTATTAGCCAATTAATTTTAGAATAATAGAATAATCTTTTTCTATTTCTACATTTGGAAGGAATTTTCGGTACCAAAGAACCTTTCAAATTTGACTTGATTATCCCTTCTATTTATATCAATGAATAATCCACTTCGTTTGTCTTGTCTATTATATTTTCATTGGTGAAATATTTATATTTTCGTTATTTTTAAAAATATTTATTCTAAAAGCAAAATTATATTACGGTGATTGGCATTAGTGATTATACGCTGTTAAAATTTCAAAAATTTCAGATATTAACTCTTCTATTTATCAATCGAATCGGTCGTTCTGCAATCATTAATACTATTAATTTATTCGTCTAAGTTAATTAATACCAAATATTAAAGATATAAAATCATCGGCTAACGATATACGAGATTTATGTGGATATTTATTTGGCTGATTGCAACAACAGTTGCTGAATTCACACCCCATTTTCGAGCATTCATTCATAACAAATATGGAATAGATATGGTGCAAATCTTGGAAAGAACAGATTTAGGAACAGATGCAAGTTTTGGAGGAAAAGCTAGTGATTCAGAACAACTTACTAATCAAGCCGTCATTCTTATACATGGAGTTACCAATAAAGCTACAAGGTTCCAGGTGATAAATAAATAAATTTTATCAATTTCAAAGAATGAATATTCAAGTGATTCAAGAAAAAGTGAAATATAATTATAAAAAAATATTAGTTCACACTTTTTTACTATTAAAAATCCCAGAAACAATCCAAATTGATGCAAATTTTAAACAATATTAACCTCAGCTGAAATAATGTTGGCACTTCAAACAACGAACGAACATTTTCATTCATCGAAACTGAAACAGAAATTTTTCTTTACACTGAAACTGAAAAAGAATATTGTCGATTAAAATTAAATTCGAATAAAATTCTCCCCCAAAGATGATTTTAGGCAATGGTTAATAATTTTTTATCAAAAGGATATAAGCGTTCAGAAATATATGCGACTACGTGGGGAGACGCAGGCGCTACTGCTTATCCTTTAGTGGATATGAAATGTTCATATGTAAAACAAATTCGGCAAGTTTCTTTCTAATTATTAAAACGGGTCTTTTAAATAAGTAGATGACTAAAAGAATCTTTATAGTTTCTTTCTATGAGAGAAGAATATTAATGAAGAAAAAAAAAATTATCAGTTCAACAATCCAACAAGTACCATTTGTCTCATCAATTTTCGAATAGCTTATTAGAATCATCTTTCATTGATAATAAATTGCTTGCAGAAGTATGATAATAGCGATTCGGGAATATACTGCCACACAAGTCGATATTATCGCTTATTCCATGGGTTCACCTCTTGCTCGAAAAGCTATACTTGGTGGAAATTGTGTTGACACACGCGAAATATTAGGTGATTATATATGATAGAATTTCATTAATTGAAAGAAAACTGAATTTGGAAATTGAAATTCCAGATTTTCCCTCGCCAAAACGTGTTTCAGGATTTTAAATCTAAATTAGTATTCATTCATGATTGAGGCAAAAGCAAAGAGAAGATCATTCCACTCAAAAAGGCATTACTGCAGCGAGAATCGGACTCAAGGTCAATGCAAATAAAACGAAAGCCTTTTCGTCTTATGTGCAAAAAGCTGATAAAAGGCCTCTTTTTATAAATTTATTGCCGTGTTGAGCAAGTGCCCGATTTTAAATATCTTGGGCCCACTCTATTACCAAATGGCCAAGCAAAAAACGATATTATAAACCGGATCAATGCAGCTAGAAATGCGTTCTTCCAGTTGATAAAACCTCTATGGAGCCAACGTGAAAAGACCATAAAAACGGAAGTCCGCATCTATATCCGTGATTCGTTCGATCTAAGAGGATATCATCTTTAACCACTCTTGACCACTCTTGTCTAAGGTACATATTACGGATTCGTCGAGCGGATAAAATATCATAAGATCGCATCGATCTTCATATAAATATCACTTGGATTAATATTAGCATAGAGCATCGCCTTCGCTGGTTAGGCCACGTTCTTCGTCATCCACCACAGGAATTGACGCATATTTCGTTACTTACTAACACTGTGATGGATGGTGTCAAAGCAAGGTAGGCCAATCAAGACCTGGACTGATACGATCAGAAAAGATTTTAAACGTATAGATGAACCAGCAATATACGGACTCAGACGATGGAAAAAGGAATGGCTTCTATTACTGTCGACGATGGCATCAGACTGCGCCACTTGGAAGCGTCTTACGGAGAGCTGTTAGAAGAATAAAAAGAATATAAGGAAAGCAAGATATAAGCAAAATTTCATAAAATTTTTTTAGAATTTTAAAAATATTTTTGGATTTATTTAGTAATTAATTAATAAATTAGTTTTTATATGTTAACATTTTTCTTATTATTATTATTATTAATTTTTCATTTTTATGAAACAATATGAAACAATATAGAATATAATGGATATATTTTTTTAATTTCTAGGACCACCATTAACCGAACTTATCGATACATTCTTAAGTGTTGCTGGTGCTAATTATGGTAGCTCACTATGTTTAGTGCCTATTCCAGTTGGCATATGCAATAAACGTACTGGTCTTCATTGTAATTCAACTTTTTTGAAGGATATTAATGGTCAAACTAAATATGAAGGAACATTTATATTTAGCATTTTTTCAACCTCTGATGAAAAAGTTAGTGATAATGATTATACAAAGCATCGTAAACTTCGCCTGAATTCCAATATAACTAATGGCCTGAAAACCTGTTTGCAGAAATTAACTGACGAATCATTACTTCATTATTAATACTAATTATTTAAATTACTTTATTTTAATTTATAATGAGCAAAGATTCCTAAAATTTAATAGCGCTATTGACAACATTGTACAGCCAATGCACCACAAGGTCCACAGTTTATAAAATGGCTGGCGCTCACCATTTGGGTAGATTAGATAAGATCCCTATATTTGGCAAAAATATAGGTAAGTCGCCAGTTTCATCTCGAATTTTTCTTTTTTTAATGATACGACTGCAGAAGTCGAATGCGGTAAATGCGGTCCAAAGTTTTGACTCGCCATCGACGATTGGTACCATTCCTTTAGCTTAGTTAATCTTATCGACTGCTAGTGCGAAACCTTTTTATCATTTGACCACTATGGGATAGAGGTGAATGAATGGAACTTACCAGCATTCATCCAGATTTCATTCTAATAGCGGCTCTCTTCCTTTTCCATCAAATTTAATGAAGATAAGTTGTTTATATAGGTCGGATTTCGTGCCTGCAAGAAGTTGACAAGTCCAATTCGTGGAAGTACCGGTTTTGTGAAACGCACCGACCTATTTCACGACCAAGTACTCGACCATACTCACGAAATGCAGCGAAATTTCATTCAAAAACACAAACCAATATAAGAGCGATAGAATGCTGCAATAAATTGTGTGAGTCTTAAAACGAAAATATAAAATGCGCGAAAATTTAAATATGAACGGATGCATGCTTAATTTAGTCAAAAAAAAAAAAAAAATTTTTAGGAACGTTTAAGCGGTTGATTTTTGCTTTTCATTTCTGTAGCTTTTGTTAAAAAATATTTTTTTTTTTAGCTGAAATCCATTGTAGAGAGAAGGGGGGTCGTACTAGGATGGAACCACGGGGATTCGAATAATAACAGGTTGAACGTATTGAAGAAGTAAGGCAGATTAGATTAACTAGGTTCATATTAGTATACGTGGCTGCGTTGTGATATAATCGCCATCACCCTTCCCCTCCCCTTTCCTCCCGTTTTTCGTCGCTATAGTGCATTATTTATTTTTTGAAAATTTTAGTCGGTTAATTCTATTTGCAATCTTAAGGCTTTGATAATTCAAAGTATGCTTTCTCCTTTTTTCCTTCCCCCTTTTCATTCTTTTCTTTTCTTATATTCAGTCGTCTATTGGAACTCTCCTATCGTTGTGTTTTTTTTTTTTTTCTGATCATTCTTTTCTTCATTAATGAATGAATTGGTTAATTTTTTCATTATTATAAGATATGTATTTTTTTATTTTATATTATTATTTTAATTTTATTATTATTGAAAAATTTGTTCCAATAAAAATATGCGAAATTTTCTAAAATTTCAAGCAATTTTTTTTTTTTGAAATTTACAATTATAAAATTGGAATGGATTAACGTGAAATATATAAGGAAAATTGAGAAAATAGTGTTGAATATAGTTGTGTTGAATTCAGATGGATGAAATTTGCGATAATTTCAAGCTTAAGTGAAATATTCATTGTGCGATAAAATTTAGGATTGATTCACCTATTCATATGAAAATTTCCATTTGAATCGGCATTAAATGAAGTTTCAGGCCGCAATAAATTTAAGAATGAAAAGAATACAACGAGATTCGAGAGAAACTGATAGTGGTGCGATAGGTGCGATGAGGTGCAGAGAGATTATAACGAACAACATTTACGTGAATGTGAAAAAAAGAAGGGATTTTTGTGAATAAATTCTTGACTTCTATATTGACGAAATAGTGGATTCTACAGGGTAGCGAAATGCTGTTTCGAAAATGCATAGCCTTGAATGTAGATTCCATTATGAATTTCTTGAATGGCTGAGGGAAATTTGCTGGATAAGGTGCGAAAAATTTTAGAAAGGTTCACTTTTAAATTCGAAGATAAAGTCGGTAATGCTCCGAAGTTCCATGAAAGCGGCAGAGAAACTCTTAAAGGGCAGAATAACAGAGTAACACTGTTCAGATTTTGTATTTCAGTTACTTCAAGGATGATAAAATTACAAATTACAAATCTAATAGTGATGAGATAGAATGCGGTGACAGATAACAGATTATAACAGACAAATGAGTTTGCTAGGACAATGGATGAATGTGAAAGGAATAAAAAACTGAAAGGTATAGAATGGCTCAGTGGGTTGCTGCTCGATTGGGAGCGCCGATGCTAAGGTTCGATTCCCCACAGAAGCAAACATGTCAAAAAATCCGGTTGATACTGGTGACTCACCTCTACTTCTATCGCCAAGGGATTCCTTGGCATATTGCTCAATGTGACAAGCCAGTGGAGCGACTTTAACCAGTAATGGTGAGGACTCTTAAAAAAAAAAAAATTGAAAGGTGTAATGCATACTGAACGAATATAACGTGATTTTTTAAAAGGCTTCTATGCTTTTTAAATTTTCTTTATCAAATAATCATATTTTAGCTAATATTTTTTGTAATCGGAATTTCAATTCGTCGTTGATTATTCATGGACAGTCGTCGAGTAGAAGCGGTGAAAAAATGGGTGATTTATATTTCGATTTTATTTTTCATTAACGCATGAATGAGAAATTTTTTCTAACTTAAATTTCTAAGGTAATCATAAGTTTTTTGATTGTTTTTTAAAAATTGTAGCTTTTTTTTAAATTAAAATTATTTATTTTAGTTTAATAGGTTCGGCGAATTTTTTAATATATCACCAGCTGAAGGATTTTCCGGTTTCGCTTGGAAGCATATTCCAACAGTTACCAATATGCTGTTAGCTTTCTTATTTTCTACATCGATTGTATTGTTTCTATATTTATTTCCATTATTTAATGTTAAAAATTTTTTTTTTAGTTCAACTGGAAAGAAAGATTTAAAAGAAGTGGAATCACCAATAGATGCTTATAATGAGACTTTCAACATGTTGAAAGAAAAGTCTGGACAAGAAGCGCTTACTGAGCAGCTAAAACCAGAATCGGCTGCTGATGGCGATAGCTTTGAAATTATGAAATTCTTAATCGCTTTATTGAACGAAGTGCGAATTTCTTATCCAGTTTTACTAGAATCGAATGACTTGTCACTTAGCGACGAAGATTATGAGCATATTGAATCAATATTTATCCATCTTGATCAGCCAGAAAATTGGGATCCAGTTGATTCATGGCCTGCGATACTTTTTCAAGGGCTTTCAAAAAGCAACAACAACTCGTTTTTTACTCCAAAAGTAATTTTTTTGACTTAAGTGAGATCCATTCATACCTCTGATTTTTACGGCTTCAGATCTAAAAAGTAGCGAATCTAGAAAAAAGAACTGTTTCCGAGAGAAATTTTTTGAAATCGATTTGATTATTAAAGAACTATTAAAGAACCATTTTTTAGCTAGTTCCAAAACGTGAAATTTCGCAAACTGATATTATACAGGCGAAATACCACGTCAGGCAACAAAGTCCACTTTACGATGTGCTTTCATCGCCTCGTATTCGTGAAGTAAGAATGTTGAGAGAGAAGGATAAAATTATTCAAGTACGTTTTTAAGGGAAATTTATGAAAAAATTAAGGATTCTTTTATTAAAATATTAAAATCTATAATTGTTTTAGAGTTTAAATTTGGATTTTTGTTGCGGAAACTTTATTAAAAAAATTTTCTTCTACCTTTCATCAGTATTTTCTATTAATATTTAATATAAAATATTTCAATATTTTACTTAGGACTTTACAAATCGCATGAGGATGCTGGAATATGAAAGAGATGATCTAGAAAATATCGTTGTTAATCTCAAGGAAAATTTGAAACATAGCGACAATAAGTAACTTTTTTTTTATATTTCTGCTTTTATAAGTGAAATCTTTAATTTCTATGATTATTTGAATTTAATTCCTTTAGCAATTTTATAATTTTAAACATTATTCAAAGATTTCACTTTGAATTCAAATAAAAAAATCCTGTCATTTTAGTGAAAAACAATTATCAAATAATCTTCGAGCTAAAGAAAATGAATGTTGTGCTTTGAAAAAGGAATTAGATGATTGGCGTGATCGTTTATCTACTTGTCTTGAGCAAAATAAGCAATATGAACTCCAAAATGACGGCCTGAAGCAGCAAATTCTCAAGCAAGAAGTAATATCACTTAAATTATTTATCTTTATTTTCTATCATCATTTCTCTAACATTTTAAAAATTGGTTGCAGGAATTGTTGCGCCGATCTGATTTTGTTGCCAATTCACAAAAGATAGAATTAGATGTTTTAAATGAACGGCAAAAATCATTTGATAAACGGCTAAAGGAAGCCTTAGACGATAAAGAATCTTATTTTCAGGTCTATTTTCTTGTAAATAAAAAATTTTTGAATATTTTATTGATATTCTACTGGCCAATTTATTTTAATTAGGTTTTGGATTGTTTTTGTAATCGTTAATTATTTAAGGAGCTTTCTTCATTGAAAGAATCTCACACAGCTTTAGTAAGAGTTACTAATGCTGAGAAGTCGCAATATCTTGAGAAAATTTCAGTCCTTGAAACAATCGTTGATTCCTTGAAAAAGCAGCTGCGAGATTCGGTTTGTAATCTCCACATTTTATAGCATATAGTATTTTTATTTATTTTTTTCTTAAAATTTTTTTGTAGGGTGCTTAATTTTTAACTTTTATTTAGAGAAATTTTTAGCAGTGCAATCATGAACAAGAGATGGCTTCAGAATGTGAACGTTCTTTTGAATTCGCACGTAAGCTAAGTGAATGTGAACAGCAAAAAGCAGATTTAGAACTTCAAGTTAATAAACTTTATAGTTTTGTATTAAAATTTCGCTTTTTTAAACTTTTAAGTTAAACAATTGAGAGAATTAATGCAATGAGTCTGAATTGAGGTCACAGAACTCAAAACAACCAATGAAAAAATGGAAGAACAACGACGAAATCTCGAACAACAAGTATATGATCAGGAGTCAGAGATAAAATATCTTAAAGATCAAGTCGATTTTTCTTCATTTTTACTTTATTGTTTGCTTTATTTTTATCATTAATATTTATTTATTATTTATTAATTATTGTTTTATCATCCAATTCTTTTTATTAAATTGTTTGTTTACTCAGAGTTGAAATATTTTCTGGTTTTTTTTTTGAAGTTGCAAGCAGTCGCTAAGGAATTTGAAATTGCAAATGATAAACTGAATAAGCATTCTGAAATTTTTGCACAATTATCGGAGAAGGATAACGAAATTTCGAAGGTATGTTAAATTTCATCACTACTAAGTAATGTTTATTAGTTTTACTTCTTGCTTTTTTTTTTTAAATTGAAATAATTTTTATGAATTAGGTGGTTAATTAGGAAAGGATATATTAATAAAATACAAAATATTTGTTAGGTTATTCTTAACATATATTTGAATTATCAATATCGTGCTGTCTCATTTCTTTTAAGTTATAAGCTTAATGCTGAATAAATTAATGATTATAAGTTCAGTTTTCTTAAAACAAATATATATTATAAATATTATAAATATATATCTAGCAAATATATATTATAAATGGAGGAGGGTTTTATATTTTTTCATCATTACTAAAAATATTTATTGGAGTAAATATTTAAGTAAATATAGCCGAAAAAATGTTTTCTCGACTATTTAGATGGTGTTTTGGAACATTTTTTTTGTCTGTTATTATTTGAAATCCAGTTAGTAGACTGCTTTTTTTGTGTTATCGAATAATGTTATTAAACAAGCTTCAATTGTTAATATTATGGTACTTCTATGGTATTTGCATGGTATTTGTGGATTCTAAATAAATAAAACCTTAAAAAAATACAATCTAAAAATTAAAAATATATAGGAAATAAAGAAATCCCATGTTGACGTAGAACAAAAGAGATAATGACCATAAGTGCCAAATTAATAATATGAGTGGAAGCAATAATCCATGACAGACGTAATAGACATTCTATTAGAAAGAGAGAAATGATAATATAATGAGAAATAAATGCAGTGATTAGAATGAGGATGCGAAAAATTCGAGATTCATTAAAAAAGTTATAAAAAGGAAGCGCATATTTGTGAAATTATCAATGATACGTTCATATTTTATTGCAGTTGAAAGTTGCTGAAAAAGAGATAAATCAGAAATTTTCGCAAGTTTTAGATGAAAAGGTAACAATGAATTCGTATAATTTTAATAAATCTTTTTATACAACTTAGAGCAAAAAAGCTTTATTCTTTTTTATACTTTGATTATTGTTGTTTTACAATTCATATTTTCATATATATAGATATATATTTTGGCGAAGAATTTTTTTATAGGATTCAATAGAAAAACGTTTCGAATTTCAACGCTTATCATTCGAAAATGAGGTCATTTTAATTTAATTCTGAAAAATATTAAAATTTTGGCATTTTCTAATATTTTCTATGTAAGCATATAGAAATTTGAAATTTCTCAGGCTCGGAGTCTAAGGCAGAGTTTGGAAATTGCACAAGACGAAACTGTAGAATTGAGAGCTATGATTAGTACTATTCGCTCAGAAATTCTACTCCAAGAAGAAAATAGCAGGCGTAGAGAATCGGAATATCTTCAACATATAGAAAATCTTAATATCGATGTAAGTGCTTTTTAGAAAGGTTCTAATTTTATATGAATTTTAATATCTGTTTTCTTTGTCAAATTTTTTATTTTTTTTTTCCTAAATTTGCCGTAAATTAAATTTACGTTGTGTCTTCCAAGATAAATTTGTATTTTAAAATTGAGATTACAGCGAAAACTTAAAACTGATACAATTCGGGAATTGAATCAGTCTTTGGAAGAACAAAACAAAAATGTAATTTTCTCTCTTATTAAAATAAATAATCTTCGATAATTTATAAGCAATTCCCATTATTTGTTTAAAAATCCCAATTTGTCCAAATGCAATTTGTCAAAATTGTTTAAAAAAGTAAAAATTTATCTAATTAATATAAAATTAATATAAAATGACGGTACGCAACAAAGGAATTTTTAAATAAAACAAATTGGGAAAATTATATTTAAAGAAATAAAAGAACAAATACACAAAAGTGGTAAAAATTTATGAGAAAATTCGTAAAATTCGTAAATTCGTAAAATCGAATTTTAATAGGTGAATTTTAGTAGGTAGCTGAATAGGATAAAGCTTAAATTGAAGAATCGCTAAAAACTAGAATTTGTATTCAGATAATATTCAACTGAGATATATAGAAACTATTTCAGAACGTTTAAAAAGCTATTAAAATTGAACAGTTTGTTAACTAACTGTTAATAGACTGCTAAAATCCAACATAGTATAAAATGATCAGAGCCCATAGATGATAAGATAAAACAAGAAGATATTGTAATTGTGGTATTTACATGGATTTAAATTTGTATATAAAAGTGCAGCCAGCATTTTACTTGTTAAGCGCCAAAGCACTTTAAAGTTGAACATTGAAATTTCGATAAAATATCAATTAATTCATTAATATAAAATATTAATATTAATTAATTTTATATTAATTAATTTGCATAATTTCCAACAACAATTAGTTTATAAAATCTGAAACGTTAATGGTTCAATGAAATGTTTTTTCATTGTAGCACATTGCACAAACCGAACGGCTACAGAGAAGAATCAAACTCGCTGATAATGAAATAGAAAATTTACGTTTACGACTTCACGAAAATGAACTCGAAGTATCGAAATTGAAGGCCAAAATAATTTCATTAGAAGAAATGGAAAAACGCCGTGGTAAATTTCCAATCATTTATCTTAAATGACTCAATAAATGACTGACTTTTATGTGAATAACTCATTTAACGGTGTTTTTTTGTTTAGCCACAATGTGTACACCATCGCGTCACCCTTTGCTAGAAGGAGACGATGAGGGTGATCCTATGTTATCGATGTCCATCGCTGGTACAAAATTTTTCTTAGACATTCCAGAAACTCCATTTTATTCCACTTCATCCACTTTATTTCACGCACCTAGTTGGTAATTTTTATTTCAAATTCCAAAAATTTTTTGTTTAGAAAAACTTTTATATAATCCCTAAAAAATTGGCGAGCACGAGCAACTGCCATTTAGAATATTTCTTTTTAGTTTTTAAAAAGTAAAAGTCCAAAAGTCTTAATGAACTAATGCTCAATAATACAAGCCGTTTCTATTTCCGTCATTTTTCAGTTCAACGGATTTAAATCAGTCAGTAGACAGTGAACGGATGCTCGAATTGAATCGCCGAAATCAAACCGTGCCGCCGCATTTAAGGTCGACATACCCTCTCGAAGTGATGTCTAGGTTTTTTGAAGATGAGCTTGAGGAAAACAATTTTCGAAATTCCGAAAATTTTCAACCACCGCAAGCCTCAAAAGTGAGTGAAAAGGACACATATATAGAATATGAAACTGTATGAATCTGAGTGAATACAACCAAACACTACGTTACTTTCTATATGGTCGAAGCCTGGGCCTTAAACTAGTTTCACTCTTTTTTGAACATTTGATAGCAATAATTTTTTTTTAGAGTTTGTTCAAATCGCGGAAGAATATGGGCGACGTCGCACAAAAAGTCGGTGCAAGCAAGCTAATGCCTGATGCCTTTAATAATTTATGAATTTTTTATTGTCATTTTTTCGAGAAAATTCATTATTTTTACACATTTATATACTCTTTTATACATTATTATTCGGTGTTATTCTTCACTTTTTCTGCTAAACTATTGTCCGACCATTAGTTACTTTCAAATTTTTTATTTCATCAATTTATACGATTCATATAACCAAATAATCAAATGAATTTTTGAAAAGTCTGCGGAAATTGAAACAAAATTGAAATTTTGAAAAGAATGAATGCACATACTTATTTGATCTGAACCAACAAAATCTTTGCGTGAAAAAGTAGAGAAGTACAAAAAAATGAGTGTAAAATCTTAAGCGTAATAAAAAACACCACCAAATTCCCTCTCCGTTTGTACGAAACATACATTCTCACACTTTCGCTGGTGTTTTAAAATTAACCGATGGCTGCATTTGCGTTAAAATAAGGCCCACTTTATTCTGAACGTTTTTCGCATTAAGTTAAAAAACTAAATATCGATATCATGCAAAAAATTATGGAAAATGATTGTTGAAACAAGGGATGTTTTTATTTCGGAACAGCTAATTTTATACAACAGTCTGGATATTGCATAAATAAAAAGACAAAAAATTTGAAAATTGTGAAAAGAAACGTGAAAAAAAGAAAACAACAAATTTAGATAAAGATTACCTGCTATAAAAATTTTAAAGAAGTAAAACACTTAAAAATGAATTAATAAGATTTAAAATGATCATATTCCGGTGATAAAAAGTTAAATAATTTCCGATATAAATCAGCGGTTATAAACATTGAGAAATTGTCTACTGATTTTGGCCTTGCGTTTGCTGCTGTTGCTGTTGTTGCCAGTAGCTGAAATACGCACTGGGTTTTCAAATATACAATACATCGTTAAAGATATTTTGATTTATCACCAGCTTTCCCAACTATAAAAATAGAAATAGAAACCTTTGCCAATGTTGTTGTACTAGTTGAGGATTATTGTAATATTGCTGATAATAATTCCAGTACTGTTGTTGTGCGGCAGCACTAGCTTGCGGTCCACCAGGAGTTCCGTTCCCATATCCACCATAACCACCATAGCCACCATAGCCACCGTATGCTTGCGCTTGACTATACGCACCAACGCTTTGTTGCTGCTGCTGAGTATTATGACCCTTAACACTGTCTTATTGGTGTTCTAAGAGATAAAAAAAACAAAAATAAACCTAACCAAAGGCAAAATTTTTATATCTACCTCTGGTGTTCGTCCCCATGAGCATTTCACGCTCTGACCGCACACTTCTTGCCCATTCATTTTTACTATAGCATTGCAAGCCGAATCTTTCTTGTCAAATCGTACGAAAGCATATCCCTGGTTTTTGAAAATTCGAATTTCCAGAATACGACCAAACTTATCAAAAGCAGCTCGAAGATCTTCATCTAAGCATGATTAAATGCACAATGCATAATATAAAAATGCATAATATAAAAAATTATATGCTAATAACAAAAAATATTTAAGAACTTTGCCACATCCTTCAACATTTCAAAATTCCATAATATTCCTTTAATACCACTTGGAATCTTGCTACACTCTTTATCTTCACTCACTCCTAATTTCTACAGTTTTCTTTAAAAATTCTTTTAAAATTTTTTCCGTTTTTTTATTGTCCTGATACGTTCATTCGAAGTTATCACGTGACAGGATCTAATGTTATTAAAGAGTCTAAAAAGATAGGACTATCAGGGCATGGGAAGAGGGGGAACTACTGTGTTAAAAGTAAATAAGGGAAAATGATGAGATGTAAAGATGATTTAATAGGAACTGCAATAACTTCCAAGAAAAATGGTTGATGTTCGAGTACATATATGGGTTTTTTTCCTAACACATACTCTCATATACAAATGAAAATAGCAATTATTACATGGATATTTATCAGATTTCAAATTAAAATGTTAAACAAGCATATACGGATTTTAATTTAGAAAAACTTAAAACCCGTGAGTAACAAGTCTTGATTACTGTTGCACAAATATGACAGCCAAACAGTTGCAACAGTCACATCATATTAGTACAACATGACATGATCTATTTGCTGCAAGGCTCTTAAAATGTGCGCGATATATATGTACTGCTTCTATTACGACATTACATGAAAACCTCTAAAAAAATAAAAATCCAATAACCGATTATTAGCAAAAAAATTACCATTAGCATTAGTATTAACATTTCCTACATAAACTGACGTATTTTCTGGACCAGTCATATTGAAAACATCATCGTAATTCAATTCGGAACGACCATACTGACCATCGCCAGCACCAGTCCCAGTAGGTTTTCGAGTTGCCCAGTTAGTTCGTATCGTACGTCTTCCTAACCACTGACCATTCATTTGTTCAATAGCTCTTTCTGCCTCCTACAAAAGGTAATATGAATACTAATTCGCTTCAATGAAAAAAAATTCATAAAGATATTTTCGACATCATACTTCTCTTTTTGGATATGAAACGAAACCATAACCCTTCGACTTCAGTGTTGTTGCATCACGAATTACTTTCGCATCACTATAAAATGCAAAATATTTTTAAAGAAAATTTTAAATTTATATATCAGAAAAAATATTGTCGTAAATATTTCAAATAAAACATACGATACATCACCGAATGGCGCAAAAGCATCTTTTAGAGCCTTGTTATCAACTTCCGGCGAAAGATCACCCACAAAGACATGAAAATGTTTACTTGTGTCAACTTTCGCTTGAGATCCCGGCTCAGTAGCCCAATTCACTTTCATCTCCTTAATAATTAATTTAATTACGGATATATTTAAAAAAAACAAAATATTATAAAATACCTTATTAAGCAAAACACGTTTGTTCATCGCTTGTAATGCCTGTGCTGCGGTATAATGATCCGCGAATTCCACAAAAGCATAGGGATCGCTCGTACCCTAAAAAATGGAAATTAAAAGAATGGTTCCAAGTTATTAAATAAATGCTGCTTGAGAATGCTGCTTATCACTTTTCTGCATCGAAATAATATCATTGAAAAATGTTCTTAATTTTTCCACTGTCACCTACATCAAAAAATTTTTATGCAAAAAAGGAAGAGGAACTAGCTAAATCTAATCAGCAAAATATTCTAAAATAATTTTTTCAAATGACATTATTACCCCGAAGTTCAAAATAGCTTTTAAGCTAAGATCTTAAAATTAAAAATACTACTGAGTTGTTCACTAGCGAAAAGCAGCATTTCCAACTGTTTTGGCTTACCTTGTTGAGAAATCAAGCAGTTTGTTTAATTATTCCTGAAAAGCCGCCGCTGCCTAGGCTATTAAATGCATTTTTCCTAACGATAAAAATTTTCTCTATCCTATTGCCCTGCAACCCTAGTTTTTTATAGGTTATTTATATAAACATGAATGCACCCAATCGGACGAAAATTGCAAGCTGGTGGGAAATCCGACAATTGAAACTTTGAAAGGATTAACAAAAAAGATGCAAAAGAAACAAGAATAAGAAAAAGGAAATTCAAAAAATCAATTAAGTAAATGGGAACTTAGCAAAGAGCTGATGAGTCAGCGACTTTGAGTATACTGATAACAATGTCCATTCGGTGAGAATATCATTCGGTCATCTGTATGTTGTAATTTATGTCACGACCCAATGAAAAAATTTTAAATTTTTTACAAGAAAGAAAAAGAAACGTGAATCAAAGTAAAAAAATGAAACGAAAGAGGAAATCGTCGCTTCATACCAAAGCGGATTGAGCTATATTTATTGAAGTGCATTTAAATCTAAGTTATAACGCGAAAATGTACTAAAAAAGCGCGGCCAAAACACTCCAGCAAAATGGAATACAAAAACTTACGTCGAAAATCACTTTGACTTTTGTAACTGCTCCTATTTGTCCAAAAAGAGTTGATATAAATTCCTCTGTAATGCTCGCATCCAAATTTCCAACATAGCTGCAATGAAGATGAAATAAAAATTTTTGTATAATCATTTTCAACTTATGTTAAGGATAAGACTTACACGGTTCTTGGTTGATGATCTTCACTTCCTGTATCGAAACCAGCACTTTGAGCAGCTTGAAAATGATAGCGAGCATTATAGGCTCCACCAGTATTAGTTCCACTGCTAGAACCTGTCATTGCCATAGTACCATCCTGCCCATATGAAGGCGTAACTTGTTGCCCATAGCCAAAGGCTCCATAACCATATGTATTATACTAAAATTTAGCAAATTATATGATAATTAAATCTTTTTTTTTAATATTTATTTTCAATTTACTTTTTCCTTCATATAATTTAAATTTCCTTCAATAATAAATATATTTCCTTACGTTTCAAAAAAAATAAATCAAAAAAATAAAAGAAAACTTACAGCCATCGGTGAGAAATAAAAAGCGAAAGCAAGAAACAAATTTACCTGCAAATAAATTACAAGATTAAATTATAATTAAATGTTTACAAATAAACGTAATGTGATAATGATATAAGTACAATATAAATTCGAAAAAAAACTCATCAATTTTTGTAAACTTCATTGACGCAAAACATTTCAATTTATTTACGCTAAAAAAGTATCGATAAGAAGGAAAATTTTATAATTTTTTCCTTCAAACATTTCTTCAAATTTCTTACAGCAGTAAAAAAAAATCTGATAAATATTGTCCTGTATTACAGTATTGATTGTTGTGCCGAACTAGGCTTGAAAAAAACCAATTTAAAGAAAAAACTTTCTCGAATAAAAAACTAAAAAATCCTCGAAAAAATTTTCCAAAGATGAATGGAAAAGTTGGATTTAACTAAAGCTTTCAAAATTTAATTAGCAATTAACAAGCATATGAAATAAAAAATACGCTGACGCGTAGAATGCTCACTAAAATTTTGGAATATTAGTCTGCGAACCCAAATCAGTGGTAGTTCAAATGTCTAATTTTCAAAAATATATTAATATAAAATAAAAAAAATATTTATGAAATAGAATATGTTCCAACAACAAGTTACACACAAACAACTTCCAATATCTACAGTTGAAAAACCAAAAAATACTATCATAAAATGAACCAGTTCTAGAGCCATATCCTCGATATAAATGCAAAAAAAATTTGCAAAATATAGAATATAAAATATATACAGCTGAAAAGTGGAAATTTTTAATAAACTGCAACTAGTAAAGAAAAACGATAAAAACAAAATTAATTTAATTTTTCAATTTCTTTCCTATTGTTTTTGACTAAATTTATAAATTCAAACTGTAATTAGATTAAACTGAAATAAGAATGAATTTCAATGGCCAGAATTTCAAAAACTAGGTAGCAGTTGGGAGCTTTAAATAACTCCATAACAGTATATAACATATATAACTAAAATCAGCGAATTATAACTAGCATGACATCATTAACTCGGTGGGAACATATAATGAATTTGCAAAATATACATCTAAAGAAGGCCAAATGAAATCGAACAAAATATGTGAGTCTGAAAATGAACTATTACATCAGCACATTTATGTATATAGGAAGTCATGCGATACCTACCCACTGTTTACCAATATATGATGGGAATACCAAAGCCTGTCGAGAGCTTACCTTTCCAATTCTGGATCCAGAACAGTAATGATATATCTCAAAATTGCTCCAGTGGACCAGATTTCCTGACCAAATTTTTGCAATAAGATGAATAACAACGTCTCAAAATTCAGCATTTTACTGATTAGGTGATTCATTGATCTTCAGCATTAGATCTTTCACTTATCTTATCGCCGATTCTATCGATAGAGCGGTCTTATGGTAAACTACAGAGCATGGCTGAATTTCAGGAAAGATAATTAGATTTACTAAAGCCTTTAGACTTTATCAGGGTATACCTGCACAAATATGTTTATGAATCAACACAACCTTTCGATATCTGAATTAATGTACATTATGGTTATATCCTTTCCCATATAATTTTAACTGGACCTGGTTATAAAGACTGCTTATGAGATTCGAAATAATCAATTTCACCACAGACCTTGAATAATGCCCTTTCCTTGACAATTATGCAGAATTATAATTCTCATTAGATCAGATTTCTACAAAATTAGCACAAATCAGCTTCGTTAAGCCTCCCTTATCAACCCAAATAAGATAAATCTTTTTTTATAGAAGAAAATGAAAAAACTAAAATTTAAAATTTTTCATTGGTTGAAGAAATGATGGATTTCAATTACCTTGGATACACCACACTTTCTCTGAATAAATACCTTTCGCATGAAAGATTTCGTGACATCCATCTTTGCTCAAATACCAGGTTAATTCCAGGTGTGGCGCCAGATAAAGAGAAAATGAAGATTTTACTACAATCTAAGTCGAAACCATCCACAACGAGTTGCTGGACAAAGAACAGTGCGACTAATCTACTCAAAAATATTCGAAATTACTCAAATTTTGTGTATTTTCCTAAAAAATGGAACGAAGATCTTCATAAATCAGCGAAAAAAATTAAAACAAAACAAATTCAATAAAATGAAGGTAGAATGACAAACAGAGAAGGTAACAAAACAACCGATTCTCGCGATTTCAACCATACAGCCTAAAAAAATAAAAATTTCAAATTTCCATATGGTAATCCAGTTAATTAAAGCAACCCATAATGCAACTCGAAAGTAAATGGGTTGTTGAGCTCATTTCAAAGCGCCGATACTAGAATTCTACTCCTATCAAGAACTCTATCTTCCAAAAATCCGAGTAAACTGGAAAGATAGGTGTTAGCCGGGATTCCAACTTCTATCTTGCATGTCGAAGGATATAATTATCCCATTCAATTATAAAATTCGTTAAATAATTACAAAGTAAATAACCGCAATACACTTTCCCCCCACCCCACCCCCAAAAAAAAGGTAAACACATTTAAAAAAAGTATAATAACGCATTTAATAAAATATTTATTTTGATACGAATGCTATTGTTTTGGCATAAACTAATTAATTACATCGAGCAAAACCTACAACTTAGTGAAGTACCACAACGCACCACTCGACAACCTAACAAAAACCTCTCTCCTCCACACCGCGAAATAAGCCGCCTAACGACAACGCCGAATGGTCGCAAACGTAGGCCGACACGCCATCTTAATATCGTAACCCAACAAACATGAACATCTAACCACTCACGGTTTTGTAATAAATAACTCCATTCGGCTTATTTTGTTAAAATTCGGTCCCAATCGGTCACTACTATTTTACTTTGTACTAGAAATACAGGCGATCCATCATAACCCAATCTCAATTTCTGACAGGTGTCTTTATTCCTGGCGATTTTCATCAACAGCATTCTAAGGGAAATGAGGGAAATAACCCATTGAGCAATTTTAGTCCAAAATTAAATATATGAAAGATGCTGTAACGGAAAGTATTCGCGGTAAATACCGCGCATTAATCAATTCTAAAAGATTAAATAGAACAATAAAGCTTTAGATATTTCAGCAGATGTGATCCTTCAAAAGGAACTTCACGGGCTCCATATTCTTCGACCGATCTCTCGTTTGGAATTGAAGGGGTTCTTCTCATTTGATTTTAGGTTTCCTACGATTTTATGTTGGGGTTCACATATATTTTTTGAGAAGTTTGGCTAGAATTTTACTATTATTAAATGTATATTTAATATATTTTATATAAATATATGCATATATTTTTTTTTTCTGGTTTATTTTTCATCCTTCCTTAATTTCTTAATTGTCTTTATCTTTGATAGGGGCAAATTTGATAACAAAAATACGAATGGTTGATGAGGATCCACCTATAACTATATTTCCAAGTGACTCTACGGTGAAAGGGTCAGGTCATCTTGACTCGACGTCCGACACCTATGATACCTTTCGGCCTGGTGGTACCTACGATAAATATGCAATCCATGCGTAGTCAAATGACTTCGAGATTTGAGAATATAGTCTGATCGCGAGCCATAATCTCTGCTCGAAACCTATCAAGGGAAATGACCCTCCCCATGCGGCGATGCGTTAGCCGTAGCGTGGAATACCAGAACGCCTATGGAGGTCACAAGCCAAGCGATCAGTGTATACAGCCTTTCTAAATATTATGTGGATGTCTCTTCTTCTTCTAATAGCTCTTATCATTACTAATTAAGCTAGTTCCGCTGGCTACAAGGGTAAGACGTGTCCAAGCTGCTCGTTCCGACGCCATCGCTAATGGTAATAGAAGCCACATTTTTTTTTCCATCGTCTAAGTCCATATATCGCTGGTCGCCCTATACGTTCAAAATCTTTTCTAGCTGTATCAGTCCAGGTCTTGATTTGCGCTTTTCGTGCCAACCACAAGGTTTAGCAAGTAAAAAAATATGTGTCAACTCCTGTGGTGAACAACTGAGAACCAGCGAAGACGACGCTCTATGATAACATTATTAATACAGGCGGTATTTGAGCGAAGATAGATACAATCACGTGCGATTTTATCAGCTCTAAAATATATCTTATTAGACATAAGCCATCCGCCAAAAGCGAGTAGAGCACTAAATCAAAGTATAATTTTATAAAAATCAGATCAAATTATGAATTCGTCTCAATAAAATGCTGAAAAAGTGGAAGAAAAAAGAATTATTTCAAAGAATCGAAAGAATCACACAGAAAATACAAAAAAAAGTACAGATTGAATCATTCAAGTAAAAATTATTGAAATTTATTGTTAGGGGATCTGATATACTACTATTAGAGATTCAAATATTCGAGGAATTTAACAACGGTATCAACCGGAAAAACATATTTCTAGCCGTCGTTATCCGGGTTATGATATCTTTTGCCTGACCATTTGGGATTCGAGGTATCTAAAGTCAAGCACGTCCTCAACCGGCAATGAATTTATAAAAAGAGGCATTTTATCAGCTTCTTGCACATAAGACGAAAAGACTTCCGTTTTATTTATACTGATCGCGAGTCCGATTCTTGTTAGAAGTGCTGACATTTGTTTAGCATTATTTGCATTTCGCCTTTTTTTTTTAGATCTTTTTGATTTTTAAGTCTTTTTTCGGGATTGTTTGTTTAAATTTTTGTATTTTTACATTTTTAGTGCAATTTTAAATATAATCAATTTAATTTTAACAGATTTTTGGTGTTTTAAAGCAGCGTAATTATCATCTTTTGTCTCATTCTATCCTTCCAAATTATAGTCGAATTATTGCGAGAGGCACCTTGAAAAAATTCACTTTTTATAATTCATTTGGTTTTACTATATTCGCGTATTGGCTTGGAACCAAAAAAAATTCGAAGAAAATATAAAATATAAAATAGAACTAAAAGCAAAAGATATGAGGTATAAAATAATTTTGTTTTCTTTAATGATATGAAGAAAAATATTTATAAAATTTATAAGACAAACCAACTGATACTAATGCTCATTGCTGCTCATTATTACTTTTATCTAATTTTACTCTCCCTCCACTCGACAAAATACATAAACATTTGTTGTGAATAAATTTTCTTCAAAGATTGCAATAATTATAATTATTATATATAATTATTATTATAATTATTATAATAAAATTATTATAATTATAATTATTAGTACTAAAAATCACATCCTTAACAATAATTATATTTTTCATATTTTATCACTCGATTTACACCTTTTTTAAATTTTTGAAATAGCGTTCGATGGTGGTGGAAGGAACAGAATTCATAAAAATTTATTTCTTTATTCAATATTGAACTCGAAATTTAAACAATTTTTTAGAAATAAAAAATATTTTATCAATATTTTTTATCTAATTTTCTGCGAATTTCTGCCACGAAATTTATTGTTTCATTTATTGTGTCACGTTTCTCGTGTTTCGATGAGTCTTCCTTTAGCATGCGGTGCACTTTGTCTAACTTCTCTTACATGCTGCAACAATATAAAGAATTTATTAATATGATAATAATCGCTTTTCAATTAAATTGCAAAAATATACAAGTTTTCTAAGGGATTACTTCTTAACTAAATTTGTTCGCCAAAATATGCAAACAAATTTTTTAACAAAATAACAAAATGTTTTCATAGGGATTCCATCGATGATCGGAAAAGTTATTAGTTTAATAAAAGCAATTTC